GGGGGGGGGGGGGGGGTGCTCAGGGCTGGGGGCCTGGGTCGGTGGGGTGGAGTTGGCGAGGCTGGACAGTGACCTGCGGTTGGGAATAAAGGTCCTCGGTCCTCGGTCCTGGCCACCCAGGAGGGGCCCAGCTCCCCGGGGGCGTGGCTACTGGGGAGGAGCCGGAGCCCCACGGCGCTAAGGGTGCGACGCCCCCGACCCCGACCGGGGAGTCCAGCCCCGGTGGGGAGGCGGCGGGGGTCTCCGACGGAGTGAGTTCTGGCGGGCACTGCAGGGTGGCGCTCCGCAATGCCCCGTCTGCCCCGCGCTCTCCCCCTCCCCCCTCCCCGCTCCGGCCGGCCCTCCCCCGCCGCGGCCGCCTCGGGTTTCCGCAGGGGCCTGAGGGCGGGCGGGGCGTCACGTGCGCGTGGCCCGGGGGCCGGTTGGTCCGCGCGTAGGGGAGGGACCTCGCGCTACCCCGGGCCCGGGCTGGGGTCGGGCCGGGGTCGCGCGTTCCAGAGCGCCCGGAGGGCGGCGGCGGGAAGAGGCGGTCCTGGAGCCGAGGACCCGGGCTTTGCCCACGCGGCGGCCCCGGGCGCGCGCCAAGGGAGTCCCGCCGACCCCGGGTGCCCCCCGGCCCTCGGGGCGCGGCGCCCACGGGGTCTGCGGCGGGGGCGGCGCCCGGGCCGGCCATGAGCTCCCCGCCGCCTGCCCGCAAGGGCTTTTACCGCCAGGAGGTGACCAAGACGGCCTGGGAGGTGCGCGCCGTGTACCAGGGCCTGCAGCCCGTGGGCTCCGGCGCGTACGGCGCGGTGTGGTGAGCGCAGCCGGGCGCGGCGGGCGGGCGGCGGGGCGCGCGGGCGGGCGGCCTCCCGCTCAGCGCCGCGTCCCGCAGCTCGGCCGTGGACAGCCGCACCGGCGCCAAGGTGGCCATCAAGAAACTGTACCGGCCGTTCCAGTCCGAGCTGTTCGCCAAGCGCGCCTACCGCGAGCTGCGCCTCCTCAAGCACATGCGTCACGAGAACGTGAGTCGCGCTGGTCCGGCTCGGCTGGGCTCAGCCCGCCTCCCCCCACCCCTGCTCCGGACCCGCGACTAAGCTGGGCTCAGGTTCCCGGCCCCCCCCCCCCCCCGCCCCTCCGCCGCAGCTTAGCTGGGCTCAGGGCCTCTGGGTGCGTGCGAGTCCCTGGGAGACCCAGGCCCTGCTACCCAGCCCCTGGACGGCCCCGTTGGTGGCGGGGTGGACCGGACAGGCAGAGCGTCAGGGCGTTGTACGTCACGGCGCTGGTGGGGCTCCACGTGCTGAGGGCAGAGCCCACCCCCCATCCCACTCCCTTTATGAGAGAACCTGCTTCCCCAGGTACCAGTCTTCCCTTCCCTGCGAGGCCAGGCCCTGCCAAGGGCTTAGCTCTTTGGCCTCTTCCTGGGGCCGCATCTGGCTCCTCAACCCGGATCCTACTCAGGGGATGGTCACTTGCCCAGGCCAAGGGCACCCTCCAAGCCTCACCCCAACCCTGCCCCCAGCCGGGAGCCTGGACGCGAGAGAGGACACAGTCATCCCGAAGGCACCAGCCTCTTCCCTCTTCCTGGGCAGCCTCCACTGCTGCGCCCCAGGCCCACCTTCTGCACCCCCTCGGGCCCCTGTCCTGCGCCAGTCCGTCACCTGAGCCTCTGTTCAGGGGTGCAGATCTAGACACGGAGCGGGAGGTGGCGTCCCGGCACTGTCACCTCAGAGCCTTGGGGTGACCGGTGGTGATGGCATTTAGGGAGCTGGGGTGTGGGGGGCACTAGGCAGTGGCCAGCGCAGAGACCCCCCTCTTCCATGCTGGGGGATGGCAAGCCCGGGTCCCCTTTCTCTCCTAGGGGGGCTCCTGTTGCTTCTCGGTGTTCTTCCTGTGGCCTGAACTCTGTCTTTCCCACACCAGCCATTCCTGCCTCACCCCTAGTTTGGGTTGCTGGTCTAGGTGCTCAGAGCCTGGGCTGATCGGGCTCCTGACAGATGGTCTGGCCCTTCCTGGATCATCACCGCCACCAGCCTCCTTTGGGGAAAATGAGTCCCACGTCCGCCAGGAAACTTGTCCCCTTGACTGGGCCCTTCATTCACTCTGACTTTCCATCTCTGCCCTTGGCCCTTCCCGGGGTTGGGGGGATCCACTCATGATGGACACCAGCCCAGTGCCGCCCTCACTACCTTCTGGTTATACCCAGTCACACCCAGGTGTGGCTCCCTTGAAGGCAGACCCACCTCCTCAAGGCTGCAGACTCCTCCCCAGCTGCCCCCCTCCCCCCCACCTGCCCTACCCATCCCCCAAGCGTTCAAGGATTTCCTTCAGTTGCTTGGCCCCCTGGCCCAGTCCCCTCCTCTGTGCCTCCGAGCTGAGCTCCTGACCGCTAGCAGCCAGCTGCCACTGCCTGCATGGGGCCCTGCGCACAGCTGGGAGGCTCCGCCCATCAAAACCCGTTTTTCTAGGAGAACACCGAGGCTGCGAGGGGCGGAGTGCCATGGTGGGTGCTGCCTTCCACCCACACTTTGGGCCTTCTCCCCCTCTCCTTCCCTGTACTTTAGGCCAGAGTGCACACCATGGAGGTACAGAGTCTCCATCAACCCGTCCGAGCCTCCTTACACTGGGGGACCTTGATCTCCGCCCTCTTCCCAAGACCTCGTTCCCTAGGCCTTGCCTGCCTCCCGGCCCTCACTGGACTGCCCTCTCTGTTCCCTCCTTCCCTGTGCCTGTGACGCTGGCTGGTGTCTAGCTGTCCGTCCCACGTGTGCCCACTCTTGCTTCATTCTGTCTGTCCCCATTCAGCACGCAGGGGACCCACTCAGCATCACATTTAAACCCTTTCTCGGCGGCTCTCGGGATCGAAGCCAAACCTTCATCTGGCACGCAGGGGCCTGCTTGGGCGCCCTCCGGCCGCTCCTTGGCTACTCCCTGGCCTGGGCCTCGGCCACCTGGCCTTTCTCCCCGTGTTCCTCAAACGCTTGAAGTGTTCTCCCTTGTGCCTCGGCCACCATTCGCATGGCCTCTGCCAGCTGCCCTTCTGGACGCTTGGATGTACAGGCCGCGCAGGGACCTGGGGGGCCGGGTCTAGCTGCTGGTTTGGTCATGGTGCTGCCAGCCCAGGCCTCTCCGGCGGAAACAAGGCTCCCTGGTGGGCTTGCTGGGTGCTGGTGCTCCCCTGGGAGGCTGTCCCACCCTGGTCTCGGGTCTTTGGTGGGGACAGGAAGGGCGGAAGGAAGGGCCGAGGGGTTGGAGCTCCTTGGGTGGCTGGGAGCTGACCCGGACTTGGGGCTGCCCCTCCCCCAGAGGATCCCTGTGGTCACCATTCAAAAATAGCCTGTGTCTATGGGCATGTGTGCCAGCGCTGGCTTGCGTGGCCAGCAGACAGAGCCCGGCCCCATGGGCGGTGGGGGGAGACGGGGATATCTGTAGGGGGCTTTCCTGCTCGGAGCACAGTGCCAGCCCCGGGGGTTTACCCGAACGCCCACGGCCTCCACGGCATCCCCCTCCCACCTGGTACTCCGGCCTCCTCCCCAGGTCATCGGGCTGCTGGACGTGTTCACTCCTGATGAAACCCTGGATGATTTCACAGACTTGTGAGTGCCGTCCTGGCCGGGCCGGGCACAGGGGTGCTGGGTTGCTCTTGGGTGCTGACTCGGGTTCTGTGTTGGCGTGTGGGCCTGTCCCCGCGGCCCAGCGGGGTCCAGATGCACACTGCCCCCCCCTTCCCCACACCACAGTCCGCCCCCTGCCACACACCCCTGGGACCCACGGCACGGGCGCGGCTGGGTGGAGCCCGGGCCTCCTTGGACCGCGCTTGGCGCTGGGCTCTCCAGGGCTGGAGGTGTGAGCGCTGGGCCTGCGTCTGTTAGCCGGCAGGTCCCGTGCTCTGGGACCCTGGCATCAAGTGTGTGGCTTGTAACTGGAGCTGCTGACCTTTGCTGGCAGGCAGGGAGGGGCGGCAGGGGCCCTGCCTGTGGCTGCCATCCCTGGATTCATACTGCTATTGGCCAAGAGCCAGGGGCTGAGCCTGGGAAAGGCTGAGGACAGGCTCCTCGCCGTCTGACCTTGCAGAGGTCAAGGACACACACAGGCCTCAGTGTCGTCTCTGCTGTGTCTCTCCCTCCGCATACCTGCCCAGCCTGCTCCTCTGATCCACGGTCCTGCCCACAGGGGCGTCCCTCCTTCCTCCTGGGCCTTCTGTCTGTGTCCCTGGTGCTCCCTGGCCTCCATGTGGCCCTGCAGCAGCCTCCCAGCTGTGGTGCTGACCCACCTGACATTCCGGGGCAGGGTGCCTTGGGGAGGTGGGTGGAGCCTGGTGCTGCACCGTGGGAGGTGGAAGGTGCTGCCAGGTGATCTCTAGGGCCTCTGGGGTCTGAGCCTGGGCCCAGTGGACGTGACACCCGCTGTCTGCACACACCCAATCCCTGCAGTTACCTGGTGATGCCGTTCATGGGCACCGACCTGGGCAAGCTCATGAAGCATGAGAAGCTGAGCGAGGACCGAATCCAGTTTCTTGTCTACCAGATGCTGAAGGGGCTAAAGGTGGGGGCGCACCTGGGGTGCTGCAGGAGGGGCAGAGCCCCCCAGGCCAGGCTGGGGCTGGGGTAGGATTGCCGGTCCATGGTTCTGAGGTCCCAGAGCTGACTGCCACTGATCCTCTGTCTGTCCCCATAGTACATCCACGCTGCTGGCATCATCCACAGGGTGAGTCCTAGTGCTGGGTGGGAGCCTGTAGGCGTGGGTGGGGGGTGACTGCCGGGAGCCTCCACTGCTGGCCTGTGAGGGGGCAAGACGGGGCCGGTGAGGAGTGTGCACGAGGCTCGCACGCAGCTCTGGGGGTTCGGGTGCCTCTGTCCTTCCGGAAGGGTGTCCAGGTGGGGTGGCTGCGTCTGGCTGCCCCACGTTCAGGCGTCCAGGCTCTGGCCCTGGTGCACCCGTGGGAGGGGCTGCTCTCCCACCTTTTTGTGCCCCCAGGACCTGAAGCCTGGCAATCTGGCAGTGAATGAGGACTGTGAGCTGAAGGTGTGTGTCGGTTGGGTTGGGGCCTCTCTCCCCGCCTGTGCATCTGCCCATAGCCCTTGGCCCTCAGGCCTGGGGGGTGCTGGCCCGGGGCCAAGGCAGTGGAACCAGACCCCAGCCATCCAGGCCATGGCTGACGAGCTGATGGGCAGATGGGCCTGGGGAGGCACTTGATGCAAGGGGGGTGGGGGGGGCATTGGGCATGCTCCCACACCTTAAAGTGAGGGGCAGGAGGTGTCTGGTCCCCCATGTCTGAGCCAGCATAGGGCCGGGGGGGCCTCTGCAAAGGCGCTGGCCAGGTCCTAGGGTCTCCTGAGGGTGGGAGAAGGCAAGGTCGGTGGGGCTGTGGGCACTGGCCATGGGGAGGAACTCATGGAGAGGCCGTGACCTCAGGCCCTGGAGGGTTGGCAGGAGGCCCCGGGTGTGCCCAGTTCTCCTGGGTCACAGGCTGGCCCACCTACTCCCTGGGGGCCGTCTTGCCCCACCTTCCCGATTCTGAGTATAGATCCTGGACTTCGGCTTGGCCAGGCAGGCCGACAGCGAGATGACTGGGTATGTGGTGACCCGGTGGTACCGCGCGCCTGAGGTCATCTTGAATTGGATGCGTTATACACAGACAGGTAAGGATGCCCAGAGGCTCAGCCCCCTGGCACCAGTCTACCGGGCCTTGCCCATCTTCTTCTCTTTCTTCATGGGAAGCCCAGTGGTGGCTGCTCCATGGGGAGGCCGCTGAGCTGGGATGGGATTGGGGCGAGGTGTGGCAGGCTAGATGGCCCCTATGACCACGTCCCCCTCCCGTGTCTGTGTCCCCCACCCCCGCCCTCCCTGGCCCACAAAGCCCTGATGCAGGGGCTTCTATCTTAGTGGACATCTGGTCAGCGGGCTGCATCATGGCAGAGATGATCACTGGGAAGACGCTGTTCAAGGGCAGTGACCGTATCCTACACTTGTGAGGGGCAGGCTGGGCCGGGTGGGGGCTGGGCACGCTGCCCCAGCCAGGTGGGGGTGCGCCCTGCTCTCTGGCCCCGTGCTGTGCTCCTCACCTCTGCACAGACCTGGACCAGCTGAAGGAGATCATGAAGGTGACCGGGACGCCTCCCGAGGAATTTGTGCAGAGGCTGCAGAGCGCCGAGGTCAGTGGGGAGCTGGGCGGGGCTGGAGGGGCTGGGCCTGGGCCTGGGGGTTGGCCCCTCACCCTTTCTTCCTGAAAAGGCGAAGAACTACATGAAGGGCCTCCCCGAGTTGGAGAAGAAGGATTTTGCCTCCATCCTGACTAACGCAAGCCCTCTGGGTAGGGCTGGACGGGGGGGCCGGGGGGGTCAGTATCCGGGCCGCCGGGGCCTGGGACCCTCCCTGACCAGCCCTGCCTGCAGCCGTGAACCTCCTGGAGAAGATGCTGGTGCTGGATGCAGAGCAGCGGGTGACTGCGGCCGAGGCGCTGACGCACCCCTACTTCGAGTCACTGCAGGACACAGAGGACGAACCCGAGGCCCAGAAGTACGACGAGTCCTTTGACGATGTGGCTCGCACGCTGGACGAGTGGAAGCGTGAGTGGGGCCCTGGGCGGGGCCTGCGCGTGGGCTGAGTCCTGGGATGCCGGCCCCTGAGGAACACGACAGGCCGTCAGAGGGCGGTGGGGCTTCGAGGTTAAGGTGACCTCTGGCCGGAGCCGAGGAATGAAGGAATGTTCCTGGCACGGGGTTCGGCACAAACGGGCAGGAGCGGAGATCGGGAAGTTGTGGGAGGCGGCCCCCAGCTCAGGGCCTCGCGAGCACCTGCTGGCCCTGCCCCCTGCTGTGCATCCTCCCCATGTCCTGGCCAGAGACCCCGGCCCCTCCGGAGCCCCTCGGCTCCCACCCGACCCCCAGGCCTCCACTCATCTCTTGAACTCATCCTTGCCTCTCTTTGCCCCTTTTAGGACCCCCCACCCACCTGCACGCCCCTCATGTCCTGCCAGCAGCAGAAGGCGCCCCGACAGCCCCCTCCCCACACCCCGCCCGTCCCTCCAGGCCCACCCAGCTTCAGACGCGCCCGTAACTGCCCTGCCCTGCCAGGCTGCCTGTCGCCTACACCGAGGGCCCTTCCCTTCATCCCTGAGGGCCAGCCAGCGCGTACTGGGCTCAGAGACGCCTGCAGGTCCCCAGGCCCCCTCTGCTGCGGTCCTGAAGGCCCCTGCTGGAACTGGCTTTGCAGCATGGCAGCAATGGGGGCTGGGCCTGGTGTCTTTTTCTCGGTGGCCGCGGGACCAGCCTGGAGCGTGCTGGGATGTCCGAGCGCAGCAGTCCGCTCTGTTGGGGCCATGGCACGTGGTGGCCGCTGTGTCCCAGGCTCCGTCTTGACTCCGCCTCAGACGCAGGGCCTTGGTCCTGCACCCGGGGGTCGGGCTGGCACTGGACTGGTGGTTCTTAAGTCATGCTCCGTGAGCCGCGGGTGCTTGGTGACTCCCCACAGGGCTCTACCCTTAGTTGTGCCGTTGGTGCCTTTAAGTTTCGTTTGGTTTGAGGAAAGTTTGCTGCTGCTAAAAAGATAACACGAAAACCACCGGCCACAGAATTCTCTCTGTGGTCCCCACCCACACAGACTGTGGTAAGAGATTTTGCTTTTACTACAGACCATGGGGGACACGTGACCTGTTTGTGGCTGAGCCGCTGGTCAGGAATGCGCACTCGCATCGCCTCCTGTTTCCCTGGGAACAGCCAGCTTCACACAGCCGTCCCCGCGAGGGTTGGCCCCTGTGTTAGGATCAGATGAAGGGCCTCGGAGGCACCACAGGGGCGGGAATACATCGGTGCCTCAGGCGGGGCAAACCGCAGACCAGACCGTCTGCTTGCTCTAAACACACAGCGTTTCCTGACCTGGGCTGAGTGCAGAGTGCCCCAGGCAGGCGCTCCACCGGCCAGGTGAGCGCGGGGACGCCGAGGCAGGCTGAGCAGAAGCTGCCCTGCTGCAGACTGGTCAGAGGGGAAGCGAATCGGGCTCTCTCCCCTGCTCCGGGCCGGCCTGCTCCGGGCACACGTTTCAGGGAACCGGACCACCAGGCAGGGAAGGTGGATGCTGTGGGTGGGTGCCGGGTGCTCTCATCTAAGTTTTTGTGGATATTCTCGATCCAGAAACCGAGCTGTGCCCTGGCGGGGCCCTGAGCATCTCCACTTGAGGAGACACACTGGTTTACATTCCCAGGACAGCCTCCGCTCACTGCAGCAGGCTATGGGGCCAGGGCCTGCCTGGCCACTCCAGGGGCGGTGGGTTTGGGTTACAGGAGCCCCCTCAGGGTGGGTAGTTCCCATGGATGGACACAGGTGGGCTGAGAAGGCCGTAGCCCGGGACGAAGTGGCCTTTGTGGTACCTGCACTCCAGCAATGACCTCTGGCCCCGATGTTTTCGGGGACTGGCTGGGCCCCTAGGTAGATGGCTAACAGCCTGTGCTCTGGGCCTGGGAGCTCTCCCCACCCCCACCCTGACAGGTACCCGCGAGGTGGGTGCAGTGCTCTTCCTGCGTCACTGGCTTCTGCTCTGGGTGTGAACTGTAGGAATGGATTCTGAAGGGTGATGGGGTCCCTTCTGCCATGATGATCTGTCTCCCTCCCCCCACCCCCAGGTGACACATATAAGGAAGTGCTCAGCTTCAAGCCTCCCCGGCAGCTGGGGACCAAGGTGTCCAAGGAGACAGCGCTGTGAAGACCCCGGGGCCCCGAGTGTGGTGGGGAGGAGGCCTTGAGGACCCTGGCTGGGCTTCCACCTGGAAGGGGGTCCTGACTATCACTGTGACTTTGGCTGGGGTTTGCATCCCGGGAGACCTCTTGTTCCATGGCCCCTCTCCCCCAAACCTCTTGTTACCCTGCTCTCAAGGCTCCCACCTCAGCCTAACCTTGGGGGGGGGGCATGTGGACCTTCTGGACAGGATGTCAGCCTGACCTGGGACTGGCCTCTGACTCCCTGAGCAGTGGTCCCCTCCCTCAGGTGCAACAAGAAGCCCCAGAGCCTGTGGCGGGTGGGGGGTGGTGAGGCTTGGGTCAGGGCTCGGCCTGGCCCTGCCCGCCCCCGCCCCTGCTGAAGCCTAGTTCAAGCAGCTGAGAAAGATACACAGGGAGGGCACCGAGTGCCTACTCAGGGATGTCTCTCCTGGGGGGCGTTGGTGTGGGCTCCCCGGAACCCCCAGCCCGGACTGGCTCTGTGCTAAGCCCCCATGGCAGGAAGGAAATAAACCCTTTTGTAGAGAGCCCACTCTGGGTTTCCTTCCTAATTCTCGGGCTGGATCTCCACCTTACGCCTCTGAGCTGCAGCCAGGCAGAGAAACGAAGCTGGCCCGACAGCCTCAGTCCCTGCTCAGCACCCCCTCCCTCCCAGGTCCCAGTGAGCCCAGAGCCTGGAGCTCTGAGGGCTTCCTCTAAAGGTTTAGACTCTGGAGGCAGAGCCCGCTCACGGCCGGAGGGTTAGGGTCCTACCTGGAGCTCAGTCCCAGCTGTCTGAGCTCCCTGCACCCCCAAGGGCCAGGTTCCTGGAGAGGGAGGGTCACTCCAGACGCTTTGAGGCACGTGTGGCACAGAACGCGAGTGGGTTGTTGTCTTTTGAAACCTTCTGCGCCCCCCCCCGACATCCACACCCCAGTGCGAGCGCGCGCAGCCCCCTGCCTGCCAGTGGGCGCCTCGGAGAGCCGGCCGCCGCGGCAGGGGCCGCTCGGGGTCGCCCTAGGCTCCTGCGTCTGCCCTGGCTCTTCCGCCTGTCCCCAGGGCAGGAGCGCCCTCCGTCTGGCCTGGAGTTCGGCTGAACACGCGGACAGTGGGCCCAGCCGAGCGGCCACAGTGGACACCGGCCTTCTCTGCTCAGGGGCGCCCCCAGCACCCCCGGGGACCGGCCCCTGTCCGGAGCCCCGGCTCAGGGCGGTCCGGAGGGGGCGGTCCGCCGCAGGCCCCGCCTTGGAGGCCACGTGACCAGGGCGGCCAATCAGAGCGCGCCGGCCCGTAGCCACCGTGATAGGCTGAGGGGCGGCCGCGTGACCCTAAATGACCCAATCGGGGTCTTCTCGGCGCAGGCAGCTTGTCCGTCGCGGACTCTGGCGGCTGCCTCGACCTGGACGGTGGGGCCCCGGATGGGGCCGCGGGCCGCATCCTTCCCGCCGTAGGGGCCCCTCCTGCACTTCCGGGGCACCCGCAAACGGGATTGGCGGCATTCCCGCCCAGGGCCCCGCCTCCTACGTTCCCCAGGGTCCGCCCCCTTCAGAACGCCGCCTCGGTGAAGCCCGCCCGCCGCCTCCGGACTCGGGCCTGGGCGCTGCTGCCAGAGCTCCTCCGTTTCTGGCCCCTGGCGCCCACTCTTCCCCTCCCTGGCCGACTGGCTCGGCTGCCGGCCTCATGCATGCGGTCCTCGCCCAGACGCCCCTCCGTGCGCCTCCCCCTCCGGCCGGCCCCGCCCCACGCTTCCGTGGCTCCCGTCTAGTTGCTCTGCCACCCCCCCGACCCCTGACCCTCCGGCTGGTCTGCTCTCCCGCCCGGGTCTTTCTGGAGCTTAAATCGGACCCCGCCACCCCCTTTTTACACGTCGACGCCGCCCAGGCCCGGGCTCCCCTTTGCGCCCCAGGGCGGCGCAGCACGGGATGGGCTGAGGACGCGTGTGACGGCGCGGTGCGGCTGCGCCGGGGGAGATTTGGGGCCGTCCGCGGGGTCCTGGGCACACCGGGCCTCACCGTCCCTTCTGCCTCTAGAGGGAGAGCGAGGCTCGCGACGCGGCTCCGGCCCCGGGCTGCAGGTGAGGGGTGGAGCTGCAGCCGGGGCGCGGAGGGGGAGGGGCCGGGCAGCGCGACCCCGCGCCCCAGGCGCCCGGCCCGCCCGGCTCCCGGCAGGCGGCGCTTCGGGGCGGGGCTTGGGGCGCAGGGTCGGAGTCTGAGGACGCGGGAATCAGGCCCTGGGAGCCACCTGTCGGCCCACTTCCGTGGTCTACTTCCGTGCCTGGATTCTGCGTATTCCTGCCCAGGCTCGTCCTAGCTTCCCCGGGGGACGGGGGGGGGGGGGGGTGCAAGGAAGGGACAGTCAGTGCACCCGCCTGTCCGCCCAGGGTGGCCCAAAGTGACACGGCTGTGCCATGAGGACTGCACTAGTGTACCACCCGGACATGACAGCGGCCCGGCTGCTCTGGGAAGAGTAAGTGTGACCAGGTAGAGGTGGGAGGGTGGGGCGGCTGCTCTGGACTCTGAGCTCTGTGTCCGCTCAGCCCAGAGTGTGAGATCGAGCGTCCCGAGCGCCTGACCACAGCCCTGGAGCGCCTGCAGCAGGGGGCCCTGGAGCAGAGGTGTCTGCAGTTGGCAGCCCGGGAGGCCTCTGAGGCAGAGCTGGGCCTGGTGCACAGGTCAGACCCTGGGGAGCCACATGCTGTGGAAGAAGCCAGTGAGGCCCTGGGGCCACCCGGCCTGCCAGCATATTGAAAACAGAGCGTCTTCCCTACGTGCCTCAGTTCCACCACTGGTGGGGGGGATGACGGAACAGTGAGGTGGGCAGTGCCCCCAGGGGTCCAGCCCCTCTTTCTCCTCCTCTTCCTGATGGTGACCCTGCCTTGTCTGCCTGCCCCGCTGCAGCCCAGAGTATGTGTCCCTGTTGCGAGGAACCGAGACCTTGGGCACCGGGGAACTCCAGGCGCTGTCTGGACAATACGATGCTGTCTACTTTCATCCGGTACGGCCCTGGGGACACGCCACCTCCCCAAATGGACACCCATACGCTTGTGCCTGATTTCCGTGGCCGATGTTCCGTGGCCGATGTTCTGATGTGCAAATGGCCGACAGGTCTTGCTGGCTGCTGCCGCTGGCATCTGGTACGGGCCTGGGCAGAGGTGCAGTGGGCGGGAGCTCACTAGCACCCCTGCCCCCACAGAGTACCTTCCACTGTGCCCGGCTGGCCGTGGGGGCTGCGCTGCAGCTGGTGGATGCCGTGCTGACGGGGGCTGTGTGCAACGGGTTTGCCCTGGTGAGGTGAGAGCCGACCCCTTCCTGGGTCGCTCCCATCTGTGGGTGGCCCTGTGAGGGCACAGGATGACCCCGATGTGTCCCACCCAATTTTCACCTGCAGACCTCCTGGGCACCACAGCCAGAGAGGCGCTGCCAATGGATTCTGCGTGTTCAACAACGTGGCCATAGCAGCGGAATACGCCAAGCAGAAACATGGGCTGCACAGGTGTGTACTGGGTTGGCTGTGGGACGGGGGCCCAGGCCAGATGGGAGGAGGGTAGAGCGGGCTGCTGAGAGACCCCACCCAGCCCCTTGTCGTCCTGGGGTGGGCTCCTGGCCCCAAGGTCAGAGTCTCTGCCACTCAGTGACCTCTGCACTCCCTGTCCCCAGGATCCTGATTGTCGACTGGGATGTTCACCATGGTCAGGGCATCCAGTATATCTTTGAGGATGACCCCAGGTGAGCTGGGGGTGCGACCCTTCCCTGAGACCCCTTGCTGGGAGCCACAGGGTGAAGGTCTTGATCTCTGGTCTTGGCTGGTTGTTTACAGCGTCCTTTACTTCTCCTGGCACCGCTATGAGCATGGGCGCTTTTGGCCCTACCTTCGAGAATCAGATGCAGATGCTGTTGGGCAGGGGCAGGGCCGTGGCTTCACTGTCAATCTGCCCTGGAACCAGGTGCTTGCCCCTCACGCCAGCTGCCTACCCAGAGCCCCTCCCCCAGGCCTCATCCCCTGCCCCAAAGCCCCAGGCCTCCTGAACAGAGTCCAGGGCATCCTTCCAGGGTCACCCCCAGAGTCTGGGCCCCAGGGATGAAGACCCCATAGCCTTCTGCTACAGGGCCCAGCACTGATGTCCCATGGCCACAGGTTGGGATGGGAAATGCTGACTATGTGGCCGCCTTCCTGCATGTGCTGCTCCCCGTGGCCTTTGAGGTAACTGCATGGGGGGGCAGGCTTGGTGTTGATGGTGGGAGCAGGGGAGGGCGATTCGGTATCAGGAGTACCCCCACCCCCCACCATAGCAGAAGGGAACCCTCTGGATGGGGAGTGCTGTCCAGAGGGGCCTCCTTCACCCCTGCTCCGATCTCTTTCCTGCCTGTCCCCGTGTGGCCCCGCCCACAGTTTGACCCTGAGCTGGTGCTCATCTCGGCAGGATTTGACTCCGCGATTGGGGATCCCGAGGTGAGGGCCTGGCCTGGCTGGGGAGGGCTCCTGGGGTCCTGGGCCAGGCCCCCACCGTGCTTGGCTCTTGTCCCAGGGGCAGATGCGGGCCACACCGGAGTGCTTCGCCCACCTCACTCAGCTGCTGCAGGTGCTGGCTGGCGGTCGAGTCTGTGCTGTGCTGGAGGTGACCGTGACAGCTGGGAGGGCTCACCGGTCAGATGTGGGGGTGCCGTCAGGGGGGCCTGCTGTACAGGATGGGGTGTCCTGCCTGGGATGGTGACGCCCCGCTCCAGTGACACCTCGGCCCAGGCACATGTCTGCCCTTCTCCCTTCTCCCAGGGTGGCTACCACCTGGAGTCGCTGTCCCAGTCCGTGTGCATGGTGGTCAAGGCACTGCTGGGTGACCCTGCCCTGCCCCTGTCGGGGCCCATGGAGCCTTGTCGCAGGTGCGGGGCCAGGAGGGTGGGAACGGCTAGGGGAGTGACCCCAGGCCTCACTGCTCCGGCTTCTCCCCACAGTGCCCTGGAGTCCATCCAGAGTGTCCGGGTTGCCCAGGCCCCTTATTGGAAGAGCCTCCAGCAGCAAGGTCAGTGTGGCCCGTGCTGGGAGGCAGGGTTGCTTCCTGGGCTTCCAAGCAGTGGTTTTGACTCTCAACTACCCCCTAGGATCAGCCCCCATACCGAGTCTCAGCACCTGCTCCCCGGAGGGGAGAGCCTCACCTGTATCGCCTGGGGGACCCAAATTCAAGGCAGCGGAGGCCCAGGCCTCGGCCGCACTGAGTTCCCTCCTGGAGCAGATGTACCTCAACCCCACACTGCCCGTCCGCACGGCTGTTGCCCTGACTGCGCTGGACGCCGCCCTGGTCCTACCCCCAGGTGTCCTCCAGCAGGAGGGGTCAGCCCCACGGGAGGAGACACGGGCCTGGGCCAGGTGGGCAGAGTGGGCCTGGGGAGAGGGATGGGGCTGCTTGTGCACGTGTGTCACTGCCTGTCCATGTGTCCCTCTGGCTACACCAGGCTACACCAGGCCCTGGTCCGGGACGAGGCTCTCACTGCACTTGGGAAGGTCCTGCACCTCTTGAATGGGATCCTGGATGGGCAGGTGGGTGCACCTGGGATGGCCGAGGGTGGCCGTGGAGCCGGGGGCAGGGCCCAGGGCCTGCTCACAACAGATGGCTTGTCCAGGGGAGTGCTGAGTGGTGCAGATCCACGTGGACATGAGTTACCTTGTGCCTGGACACTTTCTAGAACAGTTCTTAGGGACAGGGTCATGAGTTCAGGCTCACTTAGTCTTCCCAACTAAATCCTCTTTGACAGAGAGGGGAAGGGGTTGTCGTACATTAGCTTTAAGCATCTCACAGGTGGTGGCTACATAGTTGGGGCCCCAGACAAGGGGTGGATGTGTCTGTTTACTTGGGTGGGAGTTGCCCTGCGCACCCACTGTTGACCCCACAGGTGAGCTGTGGCATTGCAGCAACCCCAGCGTCTGCTGCTGCCGCCACCCTGGATGTGGCTGTTCGGCATGGCTTGTCCCGTGGAGCCCGGAGGTGAGCCTTCCCTGGACAGCCTGAGCCTTCAGGGCGTGGCCCGTGGGCACCCCCTGCCCTGCCTGACCACCGCTCCTGCTCCCCTCTGTGTGGTAAGGGCTCTGGGACTGGATTCCAGGCTGGGGGAGTGTGATCTGGGGCTGACTTTTCCTGCAGGCTGCTCTGTGTGGCGGTGGGACAGCTGGATCGGCCCGCAGACCTTGCCGACGATGGGTAGGACTCTTGGGTCGTGTGTACATCCAGGCCTGCGTGTGGGTGGGCACGCAGTCCTGGGTCCCCATGGGGGTTGGGTGGGCAGGACCTTCCACAGCTGGGGTTTGGCAGAGGGGTCCCTGGGAGGGTCTCCAGCACAGAGGGTCAGTGGTGCCCCCTGCCCCCAAGCTCTCCTCCACCTCTTCTTCTGTGGTCTGGGCTCTGGAGGGTGAGCAGTAGCTCACACCCACGTGCACTTGCACACTCTTCCCTGGAAGGAGGAACCTGTGGCTGAACATCAGAGGCAAGGAGGCGTCCGCCCCATCCACGTTCCAGGTCTCCGTGCCGCTGCCAGGGGTGAGTGGGGGAGTCACAGGGCAGGGCATCCTCCTGCGGGCCGGCCCCTCGCCTCCACCTGCCCTTCCCGGTGGGACTGTCGGTGTGGCCATGCACCGGAGGTTGGGAGGCGGGCTGAGCCCTGGCTGCCGTCCTTCCCACAGACGACTGGTGGGTTCGTGAGCTGCGTCCTGGCCCTCGTGCTGCCCCTGGCCTATGGCTTCCAGCCTGACCTGGTGCTGCTGGCGCTGGGGCCAGCCCACGGCCTGCAGGCCCCCCAGGCCGCGCTCCTGGCGGCTCTGCTGCGGGGGCCGGCGGGGGGCCGCGTCTTGGCCCTGGTGGAGCAGGTGAGTGAGACGTGGTGGCGGTGCTGTGGGGGTGAGGTGGGGCAAGACCAGTGACTTGCTGCTTCGCATCTGCTCCCGGCCCAGGAGTCCACATCCCAGCTTGCAGGGGTCCTGGCCCGGGTGTTGCAGGGAGAGGCACCCCCCAGCCTGGGTCCCTTCTCCATGGCCTCTCCAGAGGACGTGCAGGCCCTGACACACTTGAGAGGAGAGCTGGAAGCGGAGTGGAAGCTGCTGCAGGTGGCCGGTGAGGCTGGGGGCCGCGGCCCAGGCTGAGTGCTGGCTCTAGGGGGACACTCTGTCGTAGAGCTCTGTGGGGAGAGGGACTCAGTCTCGGGGGAGTGGGGTGCTGCCCTGAACCAGCTTGCTGCAGTGACAAGCTGACTGTACACCTCTTCCCAGCTCCTTGAGTGCCGTGATGTGGCAGCTTGAAATCTGCACTCCAGAGGTGACACCACAGACCGGTCCCCCAAGAGCCGACTTTAAACGTTCACACGCGCACCACTGCCTGAGGCCTCTGTCCAGACAGCCAGGGTACAGAGCTGTCCAGGGCGCTGGCTCAGGGCCCGGAGCCCCCCCTCCCACAGTCCGCCTCTGCACAGACGGCTCCATCCTCGCTTCTGCATGCCTGTTAACCTTAAAAAATAAAAGTTATTTTAGCAGCAAAAATGGGTTTAATCAGGAATGGCACCGAATTGCAGTTCAGGACAAGCAGACTATGGCAAAGCCGTAGGCAAGTGTAACTAACAAAGAACGTTATTTAAGGAAAAGGAGGAGGAAGTGGGGAGGGTTGTTCTGCACGAGCATCCGTTGGAGCCGATGACCAGGACGTCTGAGGGTTCTTTCCTTCCGGTGCTTCTGTCGGGTCCAGAATTGACGAGTCCTCCTGCGATCGGCCGGAGTGGTGCCGCTCCTGGCCCGGCATTCCAGGCCCACGCCAGTGAGTTTCATTCATTCTCACACTCCCCCCTTTTTCTGCTCAAGATCTTTCTTTGAAAGCGTCACTGATCAAGAGTCAGGATTTCCGCACATCGCACAAAGGGGTTTTGTCTGTCGGTGGCGGGTAGGACCTTCCTGTTGTCACGTTCCACGTTCCACGTCAGAGGGAAGGGCGTCCCAGATGGAAACCACTAAAGGCCACATTTCAGTAAGAAGGAAGGTCGGGAAGGCCAGGTACTTCCCATCTAAAGTCTCTCTCTTCTCAAGGTTACAAATATCGGAGATCATTTCCTCCACATCATTTTTACAAAAGTTTGACGGGCAACAAAATACAAAACTGAAAATAACTATACAACACAGGAGAAGTAACATAACAATCACAAACTGAGTGATGGTTCTAAACCAGGACTCTTGGTCTGCAAAGTAGCCAACTGGAGGTATTTCTCGGCACTTATTCCGACTTAGGGGAGAAAAGTTCTCCCTGTGGAGGCAAGCCCAGCACCCCGTGCGCCTTCTGCTCTCACGGCCTCTCTCCCACCACCCCTCCAGCAACCCCGTTTGTTCTTTGTATTGGAGAGTCTCTTATGTTTTACCCCCTCCCTGTTTTTGTTATTTTTGCTTCCGTTCTCTTCTGTTCATCTGTTTTGTATCTTAAATTCCACACATGAATGAAGTCATGTGATATTTGTCTTTCTCTAATTTCGTTTAGCATAATACCCTCCAGTTCATCCAATACTCGCAAATGGCAAGATTTCATTTTTTGATTGCTGAGTAATACTCCAGTGTATGTGTGTGTGTGTGTGTGTGTGTGTGTGTGTGTACACCACGTCTTCTTTATCCATTCATCTGTCAGTGGACATTTGGGCTCTTTCCATACTTTGGCTGTTGTCGATAGGGCTGCTATAAACACTGGGGCGCACGCGCCCCTCTGAAACAGCACACCCGGATCCCTTGGATAAATACCTAGCAGTGCAACTGCTGGGTCGTGGGGTAGTTCTATTCTTAATTTTTTGAGGAACCTCCATACTGTTTTCCAGAGGAACTGTGCCAGTTTGCATTCCCACCCGCACTGCAAAAGAGATGCCCTTTCTCCGCATCCTCGCCAACATCTGTTGTTGCCTGAGTTGTTAATGTCAGCCATTCTGACAGGTGTGAGGGGGTATCTCATCGTGGTTTGGATTTGTATTTCCCTGATGATGAGTGATGTTGAGCCTCTTTTCACATGTCTGTTGGCCATCTGGATGTCTTTGGAAAAGTGTCTATTCATGTCTTTTGTCCATTTCTTCACTGGATTATCTGGGGTTTTTTTGGGTGTTGGGTTTGATAAGTTCTTTATAGATTTTGGATACCGGCCCTTTATCTGATATGTCATCTGCAAATATCTTCTCCTGTTCCTTCGGTTGCCTTTAAGTTTTGCTGATTGTTTCCATCACCGTGCAGAAGCCTTTTATCTTGATGAGGTCCCAAGAGTTCACTTTTGCTTTTGTTTCCCTTGCCTCTGGAGCATGTTGAGTAAAAAGTTGCTGTGGGTGAGGTCCTAGGGGATTTTGCCTGCTTTCTCCTCTAGGATCTTGATGTTTTCCTGTCTTACACTTAGGTCTTTGGTCCATTTTGAGTTGGTTTTTGTGTCTGGTGTGAGAAAGTGGTCCAGGTTCATTCTTCTGCATGTCGCTCTCCAGTTTTCCCAGCACCATTTGCTGAAGAGACTGTCTTTGTTCCATTGGATATTCTTTCCTGCTTTGTCAAAGATTAGGCCATACATTTGTGGGGACATTTTTGGGTTCTCTATTCTGGTCCATTGATCTGAGTGTTTTTGTGCCAGTACCATACTGTCTTGATGATCACAGCATTGTAATACAGCTTGAAGTCCAGAACTGTGATGCCTCCAGCTTTGGTTTTCTTTTTTAAGGTTGCTTTGGCTAATCGGGGTCTTTTCTGGTTCCATACAAATTTTGGAATTGTTAGTTCTAGCTCTGTGAAGAATGTTGGTGTCATTTTGACAGGCATTGTATGTTCTTTATTTTTGAGGGAGAGAGACGGGGGGAGGGGCGGGCAGAGAGAGACGGAGACACAGAATCTGAAGCAGGCTCCAGCCTCTGAGATGTCAGCACAGAGCCCGACACAGTGCTTGAACCCTCGAACTGTTAGGTCATGAGCTGAGCCGAAGTCAGACACTAAACTGACTGAGCCACCCAGGCGCCCCAGTATGGTTACTTTTAATGGTAGCAAAATGAGGCCTGTACGGTATCAAAGTAGATCTCCTTTTACTAGTTGTAAATCAGAGGAGGCAGGAGCCAAGTGCATTCACTGCACGTCCTGATATCTCAAAGGCTGGGACTCACTCTAGAGTCCCTGGGGGTGGATGTGAGGTTTAGAAGCACCAACGGCAACGCTTTCAGCCCAGGGTTTTGGAAGGTCTGCAGATTTTGCCGGTTGAGGCCTAACGGTGCTGGGAGTGCAGATGACTAATGCTGGGATCGGTGATGTAACGCGCGAGGAAAATGTAAGTCCTGCCGAGCAGCGCACACCTCCTACAGCACCCGTAAAAGGAGTTCCCCGATGACTGCGAAGTCCAAGAGGCGGACCCAGGGTTGGGATAATCTTTGCTAACAGAATTTCAGCCACAGAAGCAGCACTGGCCCGTCAAGAAGAGAGAGCTTCGGCCCAGTGAGAAAGCCTGCAAACCATGACTGAGACATTTATATCCACAAGACAGGGAAGCTGTGCGGTCCCTCTGTGTGGACAGGTTTTCCGGGACGCTACTTTGGACGGGTGGGACGAGTGAGCCAGGTACTTTGTGTGGCCTTGTTATTTGCCCACCAATCCACCAATATTGGTTCACGAACACTGAACCAATATATATTTTTTTAAGTTATGATCTTTTTAAAGTTTTATTTATTTAAGTAATCTCTACACCCAACATGGGGCTCAAACTGGACCCCAGGATCAAGAGTCAGATGCTCTACCAACCGAACCGACCAGGTACCCTGAACACTATCATTTTGTCAGGCTGGTGGTTTAATGCATGTACTGTGGTGAGCAGTGGGAATTCCAGAATTTCTGGTAGGGCCAGATTGTTGTTGGTCTAAACCAGAGTCCTCCCTTTTTGTGAAACTGGCAACCATTAGATCTCCAAAGTCACGTTTCCTTTCCTAGGGCCAGTTGTTCAGGCATCTCTGTTCAGTATTACAAAATTATCATTTGGGAGAACATCACTTGGGACCCATAACAGAGGTTTGGCTGCTGGTTTTGTTTTTTTTTAATGCTCATTTATTTTTGAGAGAGAGAGACAAAGCACGAGTGGGGGAGGGACAGAGAGAGGGAGACACAGAATCCGAAGCAGCTCCAGGCTCCGAGCTGTCAGCACAGAGCCGGACACGGAGCTCAAACCCACAAATCTCAAGATCATGAGTTGAGCTGAAGTTGGATGCTTAACTGACTGAGCCACCCAGGTGCCCCCATCTTTTGCTTTCTTTTAAGATTTTATTTAAGAATATTTTTTATGTTTATTTTTGAGAGAGAGAGAGAATACAAGTGGGGAAGGGCAGAGAGAGAGAGAGGGAGACACAGAATCCGAAGCAGCCCCAGGCTCCGAGCTGTCAGCACAGAGCCCGACGCGGGGCTCAAACCCACGAACCGTGAGATCATGACCTGAGCCGAAGTCGGATGCTTAACTGACTGAGCCACCCAGGCACCCCAATGATGACTTTTTTTTAAAGTTTATTTATTTTGAGAGAGAGAGGGAGACAGTGAGAGTGGGGGAGGGGTAAAAACAGAGAGAGCCCCAAGCAGGCTCCACGCTGCCAGTGCAGAATCCGTTGGACGCACAAACCGTGAGACCATGACCTGAGCCGAGACGAAGAGCCGTACACTTACCTGACAGAGCCACCAAGGTGCCCGTCTCCTGGTTGGCTAATTTGTTTACTATTGTCAAATTCTAGAATTATTTCCTTCCTTTTAAATGAATTGTCATATTTTTCTGAGAAATCGCAGTCTAGTACATGAATAGGGGCAGGGAACCAAGGAGAAAAGGGCACACGTCTCCAGAAGAGCCTAGACAAAGGGAACAGCTTCGGAAGCGGGAAGCTGTGGAGATTTATTAGAGACCCTCCCCATCAGAAGGGTCTAGTGCTTGCAGGCAGGGCTGCTTCGGAGCAGGGCGGCTGGGCAGCGCCAGTGCAGCCTGTCCGGTCCTGACCTGGGCAGGGGGTCCTCCAGGCTGATTACAAGGGGGGCCCGCGGCTGGGAACGAGGACGTTGGAAAGACGGCTGAGGGCCCCGGAAGCACTGATGTTTGCAGCAATCGGTTCAGCAGCGTCCCGGTGCTCTGCAAGGACACAGAAACTAGGCTTTGGTTTTTGCTGAGGGGCCTTTATTTCCCGGAGTTGAAAACTTAGAATTTTAGTGATTTTGCTTTTAGGTGACTCATCTAGGATGCAAGTGAGCAAGTTTGCCAAAACAGCTAAATCTGGAGTGGATACAGTTTCCTGTTCCTTTTTTTTTTTTTTCCCCCAAGATTTTAATTTTAGGTAATCTCTACACCCAACATGGGGCTTGAACTCACAATCCTGAGAGCAGAAGTCACTTGCTCCACTAACTGAGCCAGCCAGGTGCCTCTAGCCTGGTCCTTTTAACTACGGGAGAAAGGCCTGGTTCAGCCTGTTAATAAACAGTTAAATGCTTCCAGGTGGATTCGACATCTAAAGGAAGACCAGGGGCGCCTGGGGGCTCAGTCGGTGAAGTGTCCGATTTTGGCTCAGGCCATAATCTCATGGTTCAGGAGTTCGAGGCCTGCGTTGGTCTCTGTACTGACAGCTCAGTGCCTGGAACCTGCTTTGGATTCTGTGTCATCCCTCTCTCTCTCTCTCTCTCTGCCCCTCCCCTGTTCATGCTCCGTCTCTCAAAAATGCATAAACATTTAAAAATTTTACAGGAAGACCAGAATTTTGTTTGAAAACAACTTGGAGTTGATGTAGCCATGAACCAGTCACCAGGCTTTTGTGTACAAGCCTGAAGTTTGCTCCCATCAACAGCCTTGGGAAAAGCTCCTGTCATTGTTTTGTAGAGATTTCCAGTGAGTGTTCTAGCATCTTGCCCAACATTAGGAGTCGGTTTCTCTAAATCCCTTTCACAGCGTATTGGTGGGGCTAGTTTACCCGGGGGCCTGCCCTCACCAAAGAGCCATATGGACTAACTGATACCAGCCGGAGAAACCAGGTTGGTAAGCTCGAGTCACTGATGTTAAATTCTTCAGCAAACCTTTGGGGGTCCTCAGCCACTTTAGGAAACTTGCAGGTCAGCCTTATTCCAGGCAGTGTAAGAAATCTGGGATCTATCTGGATCCTCAGAAGACTTAACTTCAAAGGTGCAGGTTTTGATAGTTTTAGGAAGGGAAAAGTTAGGGGTGGTTTGAAGGAAAAGAGAAGCTTGTCGAGAGAATCAAAATGGGGAAACTGAGGATGCGGAGGTGTGAGGAGGTGGGACTTGAACACAAAGTAGCTGCCTCATGCCCTCAAACAAGACAGGGCGGTGGAAAAAAGGCTCAGAAGCTTTTTTTTGTCTTTTTGCAAAATATAATTTCTAGATGAGGCAAACAGAGAGGTAATTTTAGATTCCTGACCACGTTTTGAAGTTTAAAAATTCCAATCAAAGTAGACATCCCATTCAGTTTTTGTTTTTTTTTTTTAATTTATTTTTTGGAGTAATCTCTACGCCCAACATGGGACTCGAACTCAGGACCCTGAGATCCAGAATCACATGCCGCACTGACTGAGCCAGCCAGGCGCTCCTGCCCCCCGCCCTTTTTAGGCAGTTTTGACAATTTTAGAGCTGTGGCTGTCCAGTTTTGAGAAAAGTAAGTTACGGGAGATCGAAAGTTCCTCATAACGCTCACTAAATTACTTTTGGTTACATGGGTCTGTTTGGTTAGAACTGCACATGAGAAGGCACAAGTGGCTGGGGTCCCAGAAAGGGGGGATGCCCTCAGAGCAGTGTGATGTCTGGGCTCCCATTTTAGAGGTTTTTCTCTAGAGCAAACACAATGAGGAAGCATAAGGCAAGCTGACACCCCACAACCCCATCTCCAGAACCCTACAGACTCAGTCTCCTAGAGCCCCTAGTATCCCACGCCCCTCCACAGTGATGTGGGAACAAAGGCAAGAAGAAAATGTAAATAACATAGAAGGTCTTTATTACCGGCAACCCATTGACAAATACTTGAGGCAAATACAGAGTATAACATTTCTCCAGGACCCCCCCCCCCCCGTTCCCACTATCCTAATGTTAAAGGCCTTACTGGAGGAAAACAACCTTAGCCTGACAATAGTGAGGTCTCTGCTATCTTAGGAGTCCTCTTTGGCATATCAAAGTCCTTCTAGAAAATTCCGTTGCTTTTACCTCCGCAAGTCCATAGTACTTGACCAGTCCAGCCCAGCTCTTCCTGCCCAGGGCCCCGTCCCCATGCTTTAATAAAATCACCTTTTTGCACCAAAAATGCCTGGAAAATTCTTTAAAAAATTTAAAAAAGTTTTATTTACCTGAGAGAGAGAGAGAGAGAGAGAGAGAGGCAGCGTGAGCAGGGGAGGGTCAGAGAGAGAGGGAGACGCAGAATCCGAAACAGGCTCCAGGCTCTGAGCTGTCAGCACAGAGCCCGACGCGGGGCTCGAACCCACGAACCGTGAGATCATGACCTGAGCTGAATTCGGACGCTTACCCGACTGAGCCCCCCAGGCGTCTCTGGAAAATTCTTTACTAGCGTGGGCTCCAGACTCCCATCAAACAGCTTCCCGAACCTTCCAGCTCTGAGAAGAGGGCTCCCCGACGGCCCTCACACAGACGCCGAGGGCAGCCTGGCGCTCAGACCCCGAGCGCCGAGCAAACTCACCCTCTAGCTCCGGGGGCTCCGTGTTTCTCGCGCGCCAGCTCGCCGGCTCCGAGCGGCTTCCCGGGGGCCTTCTCAGGACTCCAGGTCATCGAGCAACGTTAACCTTAAACATGCAAGTTACTTTGCCAACAAAAATGGGTTTCTTCGGGAATAGTGAGAAGTGCAGTCTGGGCCAAGCAGGCACCGCCGAGCCGCAGGCGAGCCCACGGAGGGGCTTCGCGGAGGACAGGCTGGGAAGTCGGGCGGTTCCGATCCAAAGTGCACTGGAGCGAAGCGGGGCGCAGAGGCGTCTCGCCGTCCGGGCCGCAGGGCGGCGGGGGACACTTCGGTCCCAGCCTCCCATCGGGCAGGCCCGGGCCCAGGGCCGAGCCCTCCCTCGGCTCATTTTCACCTAATATGACTCCACCTCCTTTATTTAGCCCGCGTTGGGCCTCAGTTCCCCGCCGGGGCCACCGGGCGCCGGAAGGGCCCTCCCGCCGCGCCCCAGCTCTGCCCCCGCGCCCCAGCTCTGCCCCGCCCCTCCCAGTGACGTAATTCCGGCGCGCCGGCCCCAGCGGGCTTGCGGGGTCGCGCGGCGGTGACGCCGCTCGGGGGGCGGCGGTGGCGGGAGCTGGAGCCGTGGTCTGTTCGCGGGGTGAGGCCCCGCGTGGGGACCCTGCCTGCCTGCCTGCCTGCCGCCAGCCCCACGCCCGCCCCACCCCTCTGGGGACGCCGACAGGGCGTGCGAAGCCGGCCACGTGCCCTGTGCCCGGCCCTGGCGCGGGCTCTCGGGTTTTGTCACGCGTCCGTGACCCCCCGCCCCCCCGAAGTTTGAAGGCTGCGGAAGTGGCGCCCCGCAGGCCATCGCGGGCGGCGGGCACGAGCCCGAGAGTGGGTTTAGGGGGCCGCCTGGCGTTCAGCCGGGGCTGGGCCGCTCCCGCCGCTGGGTGCTTTCCCGCCCCGGGGCCTGGAGCGGCGCCGCGGGCGCCATGGCCAGCGTCCCCCAGCTGTTCGACGACCTCTGTGAGGCCCTCCTGCCCGCGGCGAAGGCCCGCCTGGGCCAGCACGGCGTGAGCCGCAAGAGGGCCAAGCAGAGCCTCAAGAGGGTGGCCTACAACGCTCTTTTCACAAACCTGTTTCAAGAGGAGACCCAGCAGCTGCAGCCCGACGTCTCGAAGCTCCCTGTGAAGAACAAGGTCCTCCTGCTGTCCTTCGACCTGAGAGCGGGCGGCCTGGGCCCCGAGGCCGACCGTTTGGAGGAGCTGGTGGAGGCGCTGCAAGCAGCCCCTGGCTGTCCGCTGGCGGAGGTGGGGTCTGTTTTGGACCTCCTGGTCCGGCTGGCGGGCAGCGGGCCCCCTCGGCTGCTGCAGCGCAAGCGGGACTACTTCTTTAACAACAAGCACGTTGGGAGAAACGTGCCCTACAGTGGCTATGACTGCTACGACCTGAGTGTGTTTGAGATGGACGTTCAGTCTCTGATCTCCAGAGAGGAGTATTTATGTCAGGACATGGTGCGGAAAGCGCTTCAGGTGATGGATGCGGCACCAGGCACTGGCCTGCCCACCGTTGGGCTCTTCTCATATGGTGACCCTTGCGGCGACAGGTTTGAGAGAGACACCCGGGTCTCGCTTTTCGGTGCCCTTGTGCACAGCCGCACATACGACATGGATGTCCGGCTGGACCTGCCCCCGATGCCCGACAGCGCAGACCTCTCTGGACTACCCATTAAGGTAGAGTGTTTGCTTTCTTGCCTCTAGCTCCCCGGGCTTTTGGAAACGCCTCTTTTGACCTTCCCTGGGTCATGGTAAAGGTAGGGAAGTTCTCCCGTCCTGCTCACTTGGTGGCTGAGTCGTGGTGAGGCGGGGCTGCTGGAGGGGGCTTCGGCTTGGTGGGCAAAGACACCTCTCCTGTGCTGACGGCTCAGAGCCTGGAGCCTGCTTCGGATTCTGTGTCTCCCTCTCTGTTCCCCTCCACTTTGTCTCTCTCTCTCTCTCTCCAACGTTTATTTTTTGAGAGAGAGAGAGAGAGAGAGAGAGCGCGAGCACGAACAGGGGAAGGATAGAGGATCCAAAGCAGGCTCTGTGCTGTCAGCACAGGGCCGGACTCGGGGGTCGAACTCTGGAACAGTGAGACCATGACCTGAGCTAAAGTCGGATGCTTAACTGACTGAGCCACCCAGGTGCCCCAGGAAATTGCTAATCTTTTTTTTTTAATTTTCTTTTATATTTATTTATTTAATTTTTGAGAGAGAGACATGTGAGCAGGGGAGGGTCAGAGAGAGAGGGAGACACAGAATATGAAATAGGCTCGAACCCACGAACCGCAAGGTCATGACCTGAGCTGAAGTCGGACGCTTAATCGACTGAGCCACCCAGGTGCCCCTGGAAATTGATAATTTAATAAATGAATTTAATCCCTTAAATGATTCAGTGAGAGTGAAAACATGTAGTACTTATGTGCTTGGGAAAAATAGAGGAAACATTCCCTGAGGTATTTCTTGTAATTAGTAACTGGAAGTATGTGGAAAAGTCCTGGAATTCTGATCACACTTGGCTGAAATTTAGACACGCGTGGTGTTTTTTCCCATGTTCTTTCTGGTGGTCTCCAGGTTCCTCAGAGTGTGGATCAGTCGGAAGATGAAGGGTTCCAGTCAGCATCTAACTTGACTCCTGACTCCCAGTCTGAACCAGGCACGACCCCGGACATCGACCTGTGGGGCGCCGTGCTCACCTACGAGGCCAGCAAGCGGAGGTGCTGGGAACAAGTTGGATGGTATGAGCGCTTTTGCCGTGAAATGCACCCCCCACCCCCCACGTGTGAGCATGGCTTTTGTCGTGGGCTCCAGTGGGATTAGGAGCCTGGAAGTTTCAGTCAGTCTAGTTTATAGAATTGCCCGGGTCATGGGTGCTGAGAGCGATTCAGAGGGGAAGGACTTGCCGGCCTCACAGAGGTTGCCCGGCGCCAATGACTCCCGCAAGTCGAACAGTCCGCTGGCCGCTGAGTTATGTCCTTACCGTGAAGGCTCCCGGTCAGAGGTGTCGAGGGCAGCTTGGCAGGCTGCGTGGTCAGGGCCAGGAAGAAATGCTCTCTGGGCACAGGGTGCCGGGGAGGGAGCGATCTTCATGTGCACTGCTCTTTTCACCGCTGGCGCTGGTAAGTTCCGGTCACGCCGTGCTGTCCTGACTTGGGCCGGCATCTCTGTCCCTGGGCTCGACTGCTCCAGAGGCCCCTGCACTCAGGACCTCTCAGAGTCCTCCCAGGATGGGGACAGAAGACACACAGTTGCTAGTATTACTCCCGGCACCCTCTTGTCCCATGTCATCCGTTGGCAGTTCTGTGGAATGCAGCGTGGGGAGCCGCGAGTGCGGGAGCCAGGGCCAGCGGGGCACCCGGCGCCTCCTGATGCAGCTCTGGGCCCCGGGGCTCTGGCGAGGATGGCCGAGGCGCAGCGGCGGTTAGGTGCAGTTTGTGTTTGGGCCCGGCTCCTGCTGGGCGGCCGTCTGCCCCCCGCAGACCCCTCCAGGGGTGGCAGCTCCCTGCTTCCCTCACCGCCACCGGTGTTCATGGTCGTGTGCTCTTTCCTGTCCCTTAAGTTCCTGTTAGGGCTTCAGGCCTGTCTTGTGTGCACACAGCGAGTCTAAACCTTGCCCATAGCGCTCGCTGTGTCCAGCCTGGCCAACAAGTTAGCACGTTCTTTTGCAAATATTTGGTTGGTGGGATTTCATTTATTAGTTTCTGCTTTTCTAGGTCAGCGTTTAGGAGATCACTCGGGTCCCCTCCACGCCCCTATTCTGAATGCATCTGATCTCCTTGGTGCCCCCCCAGGCGGCGACCACAGTGGTCTTCCCTGTGAGGATGGCTGCGGCCGTGCTCCCAGGACCTGAGTCCGTCCCCTCAGCGCACCATGGGTGGCTTCTTCAGGGAGACCCTTGGGCCACCCCTGGTGGTGGGCCCCAAACCTGTTCTGGTGGGAACTTGATCCCGCCGACCCCTGACCCCCTGACCCCCTGACCCTGGAGGCCTTCTTCTCCAAGCTCATTTGGCAAAGCTCGTGACCTTGTTTCAGTTTGGATCCCGGGCACCTGCTAGTTTCCTACCCTGGGTTCTGACGAGTGATCTTCCCTTCCGGAAGCAGAACTGCCTGTCCCCCCCCAGCCTTAGGACACTGACCTCTGTCCCTGCACAGCCCTAGGGCTGTAACCTGTCCTCCTCTGGAGGACCTCTCCTCTGTGCCTCACCCTGGCACCGGCACCAGGCCGCCCTCCCCGCTGCTGGGCCCCCTCTGCCGTTGCTCTGTGGCTGCCAGTTGTTCTGGGGGAAGCAGTTTCTTTATGTTAAGGGCTGAGTTCCCTGTGGGGACAGGGTGAATCTGGTGTTTTCCTTCATGCGCTTTTCTCCCTTGGCCCTGAATTCCCGAAGGGGGCGCACGTGGTCACAGGCCGGCCCTGGAAGGGTGGGGGCAGGAGCAGCCAGGGCTGTGGGAAAAGGGACGGCGGCGCCTGTGGCACGTTCCTGTCCGGAGGGACTCCCTGGAGGAGCGTTTGGAAGGACTTTGAAACTTGAGAGGGTTTTCCTTTCCCTGTGCCCGTGCTTTTCTCTCCCCAAGGAGGTGAGGGCTGATGTCAGTGGTCTGGCCGCACCCCACCTGCCGCATCTGGACGCCTCAGGACTGGCCTCTCTGCCTCCTCCTGCCCCTCCCCCTCCCCCTCCGCACGGCTCGTGCCACCTGCCAGCGCGTCGTTGCCCTGCCTGCCATACTGGCCGCGGGTGTGGATCTAGGGCCGGCCCTCCCATGGAGTCCCCCCCGGCCCGGCTGTGCTCACACTCACCCCTCTTCTCTTCTCGCTGTTCCCAGAGTCTCTTGTCCCCTTCCTGGCCCTGGGTCCCAAGTTGGCGCTTCCTCGTTTCTTCCGTCCACAGCGCTGGCCCCGTGAGGGGCTCCCCGCCGCACTCAGATACTTGCTGAACGAAGGGAAATCCATTATGGCGCATTATCAATTAAAAAGCATGTTTTTATTTTAACATGTTCTGAGATGTATCGTTCCTGGCGTTGTATGTCACACCTGATGGGATCAAAACGTGCCGCTGGTCAGACATGCAGCTGATGTTAGAATGTCCGGTAGCTTGGAGCTGTTACCCCACAGGAGATGATTTTTGTCTTTGAAGAATAAATGATCTTTCNTTTTTACATTTTTTAAATGTTTTTTTTATTTCTAGGAGAGAGAGAGAGACAGCGTGAGCAGGGGAGGGTCAGAGAGAGAGGGAGTCACAGACTGAAACAGGCTCCAGGTTCCGAGCTGGCAGTCAGCACAGAGCCTGACGCGGGGCTCGAACCCACGAACCGCGAGATCATGACCTAAGCAAAAGTCGGACGCTTGACCGACTAAGCCACCCAGGCGCCCCTAAATGATCCTCTTTCTGATAGGTTTTTGATATGCTAGACCCAAAAATACTTTTTTGCAGAGGAGGAGAAAAGAGCTGGTTAGGTATTAAAAACGAGAAGAAAACTTTCAAAGTTTTAAAAGGGCCTGTATTCCCTGAGCTCTGTCTATTAAGAAATGACTTTTTCAGTGGATTGTAAAAAAGTCCTTTCCTGCTTTTCAGTAAAGATTGAGGGTTTTCAAAAGAGTATTTAAAAAGTGGTAACTGGGTGTTTTTCCCCCCCACCATTTCTGAATGATGTAGACACTGTTTCTGAGTTCCTGGCATAGGACCCTGTGGAGACCAAGCTGCTGGTGCCCAGAGGCGCCCCGTGCAGGCCCCAGCACACCTGTAAGGTCCTGAGAGTTCCAGAGACTTGCTCTGAGAGACGGAATAAAGATACCACATTGGGGAGGCCAGCAGGGGGCGCTCACGCTCTCGTGCTGCTGCGGGTCTCTGTGCCCTTCCAGGAAGGAAGCATGGCAGCACCCTACTGCTGGGGTGAGGCTGGTGTCCCCCTGCCAGCCAGCCTGTGACCCCAGAGTGGTGGGGGCCGTGAGCTCCCCCTGCCGGCTGCCCGGGGCCCTTCAGTGAGCTCATTCACTCCTTCCACGGGAGGGACAGAACACGCACAACGTGAAATTTGGCGTCTTAAGCATTTTAAGGATACGGTTTTGTACCTGGATCGTGTAACTTAGTTTAATGTCTTCAGGATTCCTCTGTGTGGTAGCATGTGTCACAGCGTCCTTTCCAGGTCCTGAAAATGCCTGTTGTACAGACAGGCCAGGTTTTTTTTATCCATTCATCTGTCCGTGGACACTTGGATTGTGAATAAGGCTGCCATGAACGTTGTGTTTATTTTTAATTTTTCTTTTTATAGTTTATTTATTTTTGAGACAGAGAGAGACAGAGTATGAGTGGGGGAGGGGCAGAGAGAGGGAGACATGGAATCTGAAACAGGCTCCAGGCTCTGAGCTGTCAGCACAGAGCCTGACACGGGGCTCGAACCCACAAACCGTGAGATCATGACCTGAGCCAAAGTGGGACGCTTAACCGACTGAGCCACCCAGGCGCCCCAGTTGTGCTTATTTTTAACACGCAGAGATGTTGTGACCGTCACCCTAAGGACCACTGTGTGCCCCTCGGGCACTGGGCGGGTGGGGGCATTTGCTGCTGCTTCTGGTTCGCACCTGGTCTTACTATTTCTTTTTTCTTTTTTGTTTTAGATTTACTTATTTTTGAGTGAGAGAGAGAAAGGGCAGGGGAGGGGCAGAGAGAGAGGGAGACACAGAATCTGAAGGGCCCCAGGCTCTGAGCTGTCAGCACAGAGCCTGACATGGGGCTCAAACTCCCGAACCGTGAGATCACGACCTGAGCTGAAGTCGGATGCTCTATCAGCTGAGCCCCCAGGCGCCCCTTGCCCTCACTCTTTCGGGTCCCCCTCTCTTGCCTTCTGTTCGTGCAGTAAACGTGCGTGTCACCTTGCCTGCTTCTTGCCCCTCTGTCTCCCCCACAGCCCCCCCGGCCACAAGGAGGAGCCCTACCTCACCGAGGCGGGAAGGGACGCCTTCGACAGGTTCTGCGGGCTCCGCCACGGGGAGCTGCTGGTGCTGGGCGGGGGCCTCCCGCAGGCCCCACAGCCGGTCCTGGTGAAGGAGTGTGAGCTGGTGAAAGATGCGCTCAACGTCTTGATTGGGGTCGTGTCTACCACATTCTCCCTCTGCCAGGTAAGGAAGTGCCCGCCTGGCACTTTACAGGGTAGCAGGGAGCCCACTCAGGAAGCAGGCGGCCTCACGTGCGAGCCTCTGGGTGCTGGGGTGGCGGGAAGCTGGCTCCGTGGCCTGCGCAGAGGCCATGGTGACGGTCTTCTCTTTTCAGTCCGAAACAGTGTTGCTTTATTAACATCCTTTGTTTTTTCCCCCCAAGTTCCAAAAAGGCTTTATTACATAGAGAGGGGAGGGCAGGGCTCAGTCCTTCTTGGCGGCCGCTTTGCGCATGGCTGCCAGCACGTTGCTCAGCTCCTCTCTCTTCCTCTTGGCTCGGATGTGCGTCCCCACCCTTTTCTTGATGAACTTGAGTGCGCGCTTGTCCTTGGAGACTTTGAGCAGCTCCATGGCTTGCCGCTCGTATGGGGCGAAGCCGCACACCTCTCGGATCATGTCCCGCACGAACTTGGTGTGCTTGGTGAGGCGCCCGTGGCTGTGCCTCAGCTTGCTCACGTTCTTGGTTACCTTGTGGCCCTTATTGAGGCCCATGGCCATAGGGTAACGCAGAGCCATGGCTGCTGTTCCTCAATGGCTCCCGCGGCGGAAGGGGTATTAACATCCTTTTAAAACTGAAGAAAAATGAGATGTTTATTACCATCGGTGAGACGGTAGAAACGCACCCCCCCTTTCCCTGCCCAGCCTCAAGAAGTGCCGAGAGGCCCTCTGAGCCTTCCCTGTGCTCGGACAGAGTGCAGACTCCACCTCGAGGAGCACCGGCCTGGCAGGAGGGGCCGTGCCGTAGGGCCTTGTTGCTGTCTTCACCGGGTGCCGGGTGGCTCCTTGCCGGCGGGCGGGGCCTCGGGCATCCCCTCTGCCTCTTGCTGGGCACTTGTCTGGTAAACACACACATTTACAACATCAAGCCTTTTGTACATGTTACTCTGCAGACTCCTTTCATGTGAATGTCCAGCCTCTCTATATCTTTTTTTTTTTTTAATGTGTATTTATTTACTTTGAGACAGAGCAGGAGAGCAGGGGTGGAACAGAAAGAGAGGGAGAGAGAATCCCAAATAGGCCCCATGCTGACAGCCCCGAGCCCAGCACGGCTCAGACACACTGTGAGATCATGACCTGAGCTGAAACCAGGAGTCAGGCGTTTAACCGACCAAGCCCGCAGGCGCCCCAGAGTTTTCATTGCGAGTGTATAGAAAGAACTGCTGCTTTGCCAAATGTGTTCATTAGTTCTGATGTGTTTTGTGTGTTGGGGGTGGGATTCTTTAGGGTTTCCTGTATATGAGATCCCATCATTGGGGCACCTGGCGGCTCAGTCGGTTGGGCGTCCGGCTTCAGCTCAGGTCATGATCTCACAGTTCATGGGTTTGAGCCCCGCGTTGGGCTCTGTGCTGACAGCTCAGAGCCTGGAGCCTGTTTTGGATTTTGTGTCTCCCTCTTTCTCTGACCCTCCCCCACTTGCACCATGTCTCTCTCTCTCTCTTTCAAAAATAAGTAAACATTAAAAAATTAAAAATATACATAAAAAATTGTTTTTAAAGATCCTATCCTCTGCAGATAGATACCTTAACTTCTTCCTTTCCGTCTTGGATACATTTTATTTTTTCTCTCGCCCCGTTGCCCCGGCTAGGACTTCCAGTGCTGCTTCAGACGGAAGCGGCGAAAGCTGGCACCCTTGCCTCCTTGTGTGCCCTAGCAGAAAAGACTTGCCGTCGTTGAGAGTGATGTGAGCTGTGGGGTTTTCATACGTGGCTTTATCATGTTGAGGAAGTTCCCTGTATTTCCTATTCTACTGAATGGTTTTATGACAAGAGTGTATTGGATTTTGTCAAATACTATTTTTGCATCAATTGAGATAATCATATATTTTTTTCTTCATTCTATTAATGTGGCCTAGTGCTCGCTTCGGCAGCACATATACTATTAACGTGGCCCATTGCATTGATTGATTTTTTTTTTCCTTCACTTCACTTCTTCAACAAGTATTTATCATGAAGCCATGATTCAGGATCCCAGGGTGGGGATCACCACGTACACAGGTGCCTCTTCCCTGCCTGGGGAGAAGGAGGGAGGAGAGTTGGGTGGAGCCAGCACAGATCTTCCCAGGAAACATGCCTTCTGCCCAGTGGTCACCCCGGGCTGACACCCGGGACAAGGCCAGAGACACCACTTCCACCAGTGGTCCTGAAACCCAGATATTTCTGCCCACAGTCCCTGGCCTGGTTCTGGTCAGGGAAGCACCTGTCAAAAGGGGCAGTCGTGGGGGTCGTCTGGGGGGCTCAGTCGGTTAAGCGTCTGACTCCTGGTTTCGGCTCAGGTCATGAACTCACGGTTCTTGGGTTTAAGCCCTGTATCAGGCTCTGAGCTGATGGAGCCTGCTTGGGATTCTGTCTCCCTCCACCCCTCTGCCCCCAAAATAAATAAACTTTTTTTAAAAAAATACTTTATTGTCAAGTTGGTTTCCATACAACATGCAGTGCTCATCCCCACAAATGCCCTCCTCCATGCCCATCTCCCCTCCCCCCCACATCCATCAGCCCTCAGTGTGTTCTCAGCATTCAAGAGTCTCTCATGGTTTGCCTCCCTCCCTCTCCCCCACTGTTTCCCCTTCTCACCCATGGTCCTCTGTTAAGTTCCTCCTAAACCTCCTATACATGCAAACATATGGTATTTGTCCTTCTCTGCCTGAGTTATTTCCCTCAGCATAACACCCTCAAGGTCCATCCATGTTGCTACACAGGCCAGATTTCATTGTTTCTCATTGCCATGTAGTATTCCATGGTACAGATAAACCACATCTTCTTTTTTTTTTTTTTTAATGTTTTATTTATTTCTAGGAGAGAGAGAGACAGCGTGAACAGGGGAGGGTCAGAGAGAGAGGGAGTCACAGACTGAAACAGTCTCCAGGCTCCGAGCTGGCAGTCAGCACAGAGCCCGACACGGGGCTCGAACCCACGAACCGCGAGATCATGACCTAAGCGAAAGTCGGACGCTTAACCAACTAAGCCACCCAGGCGCCCCGATAAACCACATCTTCTTGATCCATTCGTCCATTGATGGACACTTAGGCTCTTTCCATGTTTTAGCTATTGTGGAGAGTGCTGCTATGAACATTGGGGTCCATGTGCCCCTATGCATCAGCACCCCTGTGTCCCTTGGGTAGATTCCTAGCAGTGCTATTGCTGGGTCGTAGGGGAGTTCTGTTGTTAGTTTTTTGAGGAACCTCCATACTGTTTTCCAGAGGGTCTGCATCAGCTTGCATTCCCACCAGCAGTGTAGGAGGGTGCCCGTTTCTCCACATCTTCGCCAGCATCTAGAGTCCTCTGATTTGCTCACAAAATAAATAAATTTAAAAAGGTGGGGGCAGTCTGCTAGTTCTTGATTTTGGTCTTGGTGTCTTCTGCCATGGAGCTGCTCTTAAAGACAGCCCTGAAGGAGCTCACAGCTCAGTGGGACCCTCAGCAAAGACCGCACTGATTGATTTTTGTATGTTGAACCACCGTTTAATATGCTGCTGGATTTGATTTGTTAGTATTTTATCAAACATGTCTGCTCACGAGGGATATTGGCCTGTAGTTTCCTTCCTTGTACGGTCTTCATTTTGCTTTGGAAGCAGGGCAGTACTGGCCTCCAGCATTAGGAAGTATCCCCCACCCCCACCTCCCGGTCAGTTTTTGGATGAGTTTGAGAATAGCTGGTGTTCTTTAATTGTTTGGTAGAATCACCATCTGGTCCTGGGCTTTTCTGTAGTGGGGGTGGGGTGTCATTATTTTCTTTGAATTGTAATAAAATACACAACATTTAGCATCTTAACCTGCTGGGAGGCCCTGTGTTGGTGGTAGTGATGCTGTCGGTGGGCAGTGCTTGTTGACCGTCCCCTGCCCGCCAGGCTCCAGGGCTATGGGGGGCCGGCCTCTGCGGCTTTCACTGTCGTCGCAGGGCACACCTCCGCAGCAGCCGCCCGTCATCTCCTTGGGACACATCCCTACGAGTCAGGTTATTAGATCTAACGACAAGTACTTTTTAATGCTTCCGCCCCCAAGAACACTGTTGTGTGCACCTCTCGGGGAGCGTGGGGGGCAGCCTGTGTTCGTACGTCCTCATCCACAGTGGGCTGGACCTCCAGGACGTGTGTTGTTTCTGTGCAGTCGGGGAGAAGGGCACCGTTGTCCTGCATGGGTGGGGGCAGGCGGGCTGCTTTCTGACCACCTGCGCCAGCTGTGGGCACTCACTGTGGGCGCGTCTTGGTTTGGGGTGCGTGGTCCTGGGGGCACCAGGCAGTGTGGCCGGGTACACGGGGACACGGCGCCATGTCGGGCTCTTGGTGCCTGACCTCAGGACCCCTCCTCTGCCCTGTCCAGCCCACTCAGACCTTCACGGTGAGGCGGGGCGTCCATGTGTCGGGAGCGTCCCCCGAGAGCATCAGCAGCCTCCTCTCGGAGGTGGCCGAGTGTGGGACGCACTACGCGCGCCTGAGCCACTTCTCCCTGCAGCCTGTGCTGGACTCCTCGTGCAGCAAGGGCCTCGTGTTCCAGGTATGGCCGTGAGCCCTCGTGCTGTCGCCTTTCTGAGAGCTGTGACAAGCTCTGGGAGAGCGCCTCAGAACCTCTGCCCCAGGGCCTCTGAGACCAGGCATGTGCCTCCTTTAGCGATCCCTGAAACTCGGTAGTTACTCTTCAGGAACGGGGTCTCCCGTGATTACGATTCAGCTCATCTGTCCCTTAACCGTGGGCTAGAGGTGTGGCCAGCATTTGGGGGGCCTGGGCGGTATGGGGTGGGCACGTGTGGCCTGTTCCCTGCCAGTCTTCACGGAGCTGCACAGTGACTGACACGAGGTCCTCGCTTGAGCTGAAGTTCTAGGAGCTGCAGCCGAACCGGGTCTTCTGGGCAGTCTGACAGCCGCCCTCACGCCGGGCAGAGCCCCCCAGGGTGGCAGGCATCCAGATGGAGCAGGGCGTTTGGGGAGAACTGAGGAAAGGGCATCCAGGAGGCTGAGCAAAGGAGGCGGGGGGCCAGGGCCCACGGGCTCCGCCACGCGGTGGCCCTGCAGCAGTGTTGTTGGGTGACGTGACGAGGTGTAGGTTTCAGACGGTGCAGGCTGGGCCCGTGCCGGTGGGAAGGGAACTGGGAAGACAGGAGGGTCTGTGTGGGGCACGTGGGGCGTGACTAGTGGGTGGACTGGCTTTTCTTCCGGGGCGTTCCGTGCAGACCTCCTGTGAAGACGGCTGCTGAGCTAGGGCCGTGCTCTGGTGTGGCCCAGGGCCCGGGACGCATGTGTTGCCAAGACCCTAGTGGTTTGAGCAGCCAGAGGCCCTCTCAGAGTTGGCACCCGCCCCCTGTGGGGTTTCCTGGTGCAGTTGGGGTGTCTGGACGTGACCCACGGATACCTGTTCTTTGGAACGTGGTGCCGCAGGCTTGGGGGATGGAGCCCAAGCCTCGCTCCCCAGCTCCAGTGCATCCTTTCAAGTTCTGAGCTTGGCGGCCGTGTGCAGGTGCCCGGCTGCCCTCCTCCTGGCCTCCTTGCCCTACAGGCCTTCAGCAGCGGCCTGCGGAGGTACCTGCACTACTACCGGGCCTGTGTTCTCTCCACTCCGCCCACCCTGAGCCTCCTCGCCATTGGCTTTCTCTTCAAGAAACTGGGCCGGCAGCTCAGGTGCGCCTCTGCGTGGGGGCTGTGGGGGCCGGCGGGGGGCTGGCTTTGAGAACAGCGCCCCTGGTCCGTGTCTGGATGGCTCTTGTCCAGATGAGTGCACAGGGTGCCGTGGGCACGGGGTGCTGGGTCCTGGGTATCTGTTGGTGGCCTGCCGCGGCAAGCCCTGTCTGGGGGTGGGGTTCCTGCCTGAAGGGCACGGGGTTCCTGCAGACCCGGCTTCTGGCACTCAGGGCCCAGCTGGTAAGCACCAGGCAGTGTCTGTAGCAGGTGCTATCTGGAGAAGGGAGCAGGAGGGTCTGGGGACGCTGTGGGGAGGGTTCGGGGGGAGAGGAACCCTTCCAGGCAGCAGGGCTGGAGGTGGGGTGCAGTGAGGGGGTCTGGGGGTGCCTGCAGGGTGCCGTGTGGAGCACAGACTGCAGGGAGGGAGGGGTCCTGCCGGTCATCCATGCCAGAGAGGTGGCCGCCTGGGCGAGGCAGTGGGGGTGCTGCAGGTGTGGGAGAGGGGCCGCGGAACCAGGGTGGCTCTGAGTCTCCCCTGGGCCTGGGAAGGAGGTGGAGGTGCACGGGGTGCCCAGGGAGCGGTCAGGCAGGAAACTCGAACCTGGGACCTTGAAGTGCAGGTGGTTTTACAGCTGGAGCACGGAGGCCGGCAGAGACCAGCCAGGGACACATTTGCTGTGGTGTCAGGGGGTCTGGGGCCCCTGCGTGTCTCCTGCCCAGCCTCACTCAGGCCCGTGTGTCCAGGTACCTGGCCGAGCTCTGTGGTGTGGGCGCTGCACCCCTAGCTGGGAGCGGCGGGGGACCGAGGGCCGCATTCCCGACCGTGAGTTGTGCGGTGGCCCTGCGAGGTCGGGACCGGGGAGGTGGCCGAGGGCGGGCTCCTTGCGGCGAGGCGTGTGCTGAGCCCCCTCTGCTGTCCCCAGGGGGTGAGGCTGCTGTCCTGCCTGTACCAGGAGGCCCTGGACAACTGCAGCAACGAGCACTACCCGGTGCTGCTGTCCCTGCTGCAGACCAGCTGCGAGCCCTACACCAGGTGCCGCCCGCCCGTCCGCGCGCGCGTGCCTGTGGCCTCGTCAGGCACCTGCTGGGCGCAGGGGTGGTGCAGGAAGGGGGACCGCAGCTGGCCGGTAGCCCACCGCCTCACGGCTGCCTGCCCGCAGGTTCATTCACGACTGGGTCTACAGCGGGGTCTTCCGGGACGTTTACGGCGAGTTCATGATCCAGGTGAACCAGGAGTATCTGGGCTTCAGAGGTAGGTGGCCGCTGGCTGCTGGGCTGGGCCTCTGCCATCAGGTGGCTCAGGGCCCATGCCTGATAGTGGCCAGCGGCGTATCCTGTCCCGTGTTCAGATAAGTTTTACTGGACCCACGGCTACGTGCTCATTTCCAAAGAGGTGGAGGACTGCGTCCCCGTGTTCCTGAAGCACATCGCACACGATGTGTACGTCTGCGGGAAGACCATCAACTTGCTGAAGCTCTGCTGCCCCCGGGTGAGGCCCCTGTCCCCTGAGACCTAGACGTCTGTCCTTAGTTTGTGGTGATCTCTCCCTCAGTTTTCCCTGAGTGTCACCTGCAGCTCTGTTCAAAGACAGGAAAAGCAGAGGCATTTCAGAGGCACGGGGGCAGGGGGTTCCCTCCCTCTCTGTGTGCGGAGGGGGGCGCTCCGGTGGGCAGGGGCTCCTTTCCTCTGTGCGCGGGGCCACATCCACAGGGAGTCGTGTCCTGGTTGGGAGAGTGGGGAGGGAGGGGTGGCCAGGCTCCAGAGAGGAGGCCTGGACAGCAGCCTACCCGTCATCCGTGGGGCCGAGGCCCTGTGGGAGGAGGGGTGCTGCCGTCTGAGCAGAGAGGTGAGCGGGCTGCCCGGAGTGGGGCTGGGGAGTGGCCAGGCTCAGCCTGTGGCTCACGGGGCCCCTCTTGCGCTGGGATGAGAACAAACGGGAGCTGCCAGGACATGGGGAGGGCCGGGGCTCGGGGCGGCCAGCGGTGGGGTCTGGGCTGACCGCAGTGCGTGAGTGCCGTGTCCGTAGCCCATGGTCTTCCGGTGAGGGAGGCTGAGGAGATGCGCAGGTCTTCACAGCTTTCGGAGGCTTGTCCCTGGGAGGCAGGCACAGCCTGTGTTGTGGGGCCGCCTTGGCCTGGCAGAGACCCCACACGACCCATCTGTGATGGTCCTGGAGCTGTGCCCCTTGTTTGAGAAAGCGAGCTGTCCCCACGGGTCACCAGAAACAGGCGGGGCTGGGCGTGGGTCTGCGTGTCACTGGGCTCATTTCAGGTTTTCCCTCTTGGTAGCACTACCTCTGCTGGTCCGATGTTCCTGTCCCTCGGATCTCGGTGATTTTCTCCCCGGAGGAATTGAAGGAGGTCGAGAGGGACTGCGCCATCTACGTGGGGCGGATGGAGAGGGTGGCACGCCACAGCTCCGTCAGCAAGGAGGAGAAGGTGCCGGGCACCGTGGGCCCCGGGTTTTCCTTGCATCTCCTTCCCTCTGAGGGTCTTGGGCTGATGGGGAGTGGTGTGCGGGCTGGTGAGGCTGCCCCTGATGTTCTCTGTTCGGGTAGGGTACCTGGTGGGGGGTACCTGGGGCAGGGGCTCTGTCCTGTCTCTTCTGGGGCTGCTTGGGTGGTACACAGGCCCAGTCCTGGCTGATCCATGGCTCCAGGATGCAGGACCCAAGGCTCCTCTACTCTTGGCCTCTGAGCTCCTCGCCTGCCTGGAAGGAGCCGATGTATCAGGACCCGGGAGTTTTGTGTACCTGGGAAGGGGGTTGATGGAAAGCCCTTTGTGGCCTGGCACCTGGTGGCCGCAGCGAGATAAGAGCAGGGGCAGACCTGAGAGAGCGAGTGGGCGTGGCGTTGGGCAGAGCTGGAGGCAGGGAGGGGCACGGTCCTCCTTCCCTGTGGGGAAGCCCTGCAGGTGGGCACACACAGGCCTGGGGGCTCGGCCCCAGGCTGCTCTGCGGGTGGGTGCACTGCCTGGCAGTGCTGCCGTGCAGGATGGGGCGCCTTCATAGCTGGCGGGGGCTGCGCGGGCGAATGCAGCCCCCTCTCCCTGGCTGGCCGAGCCGAGGGCTGGGGAGCTAGGCTGTGCTGTTTACAGATGGCTTTTTTCAGGAATTACGAATGGAAATCGCCAAACAAGAGTTAATTGTCCAGGCCCGGGAGGCAGCATCCAGGGTCCTGCGAGCGCTCAGTGGTGCGTGGGGCCCGGGGCCTCCCCCTGCGGTTCTGGGCCCGCCCACTGCAGGTAACGCTGCCCCTCCCATCTCCACTAGACCGGCAGACGTCTGAACGCATGGCCTTGGACGCCCGGAAGCGAGAGCAGTTCCAGAAGCTGAAGGAGCAGTTTGTGAGGGACCAGGAGGTAGGCCGGGGGGCCGGGGGGCGGGGCCGGGGGCGGGGGCGGCGGGCCCACGGAGTCCGGCTCTGAGCAGCAAGACCGTGCGTGGCTACTGTGTGCAGCGGCGCCGGGCGGCCAGGCAGGAGGGCCTGGACGACGACTTCGGCTATGCCCGAGAGCTGCGCGACAGGGAGCGGAGGCTGCGGGCCCTGGAGGAGCAGCTGGAGAAGAAGGCGAGGTAGGCGGCCGCCGCGGGCTGCCCCTCCGGGGGTGGGCTTGTGATGGGCTTCTCTTTACTTGGAAGACTTCCCAGGCAGGGAGAGGAGGAGTCTGAACGCAGAATGTCCCCTTGCACTGAGAGCTCATCTTGCTCTGGTGCCATGAACGTGTCCTGCCTCCCCTGTGTCTCTGGGGTGTCTCCCAGCGGCACCTTTGTGGGGCGCTCTCACTTGCTCCTTGTCGTCTGTCTCGGGGCCCTGACCTTGGATGCTGTTGAAGGAGCCTGCGTGTGCGTGTGGGGCTGGATGTTAGTCTCCTGTTTGCAGCCGCAAGGCTGTGCCCCTGGTCTGGGGCAGCCAGGTGGGCACGAGCCAGCCCAGGTCTGAACCCGGGTGCCTGTGGTGAGAGGGCCCAGATCGCCGGGAGCGACGTGGTAGCTTTGGGGGAGCAGATGCAGAGTTTGCTGCCCTCTGTGTGCCTCTCGATTTATCTCAAGCTCTCTACAGTCGGCACCAGAGGTTGGGAGGCACATTTTGTGAAGCTCGGGAAGAGAGGCCCCTGACAGTCCCGGCCTCCTGCCTGTCCAGCGAGGCTCCAAAGGGAGGGACCGCCGGCCTGGGAGGGTGCCAGCTGTGTGGGCCGCCTGCCGAGGGCCTCTGCCAGGAGCCTTCCCAGCCCACCAGGCACCAGCTGGCCGGCGCTGGGCGGCTGTGGCAATATCTCTGGGTGTGGCTTCAGGCAGGCGTTGGTGGACCATTACAGCAAGTTGTCCGCAGAGGCAGCTCGTCGCGAGCAGAAGGCGCTGTGGAAGATCCAGAGGCACAGACTGGCAGGCGCACGGCTGCGCTTTCTCGTGGAGGACCGGAAGCATATTCAGGTGTCCCGTGGTTTCCGATGGGAGCTCTTCCCAGGCTCGGGGGGCTCGAACCTGTGGTTACACGCAGACTTGTGTTCTGGGGGAGGGGTGGTAGCTCTCGTCAGTTGTCACGAGCAGAGTGTAGCACGAGCCTCTCGTCGTCTCCATGCGCAGCGGTTTTGGGCGGTGGGTGAGGGCGCTGAGGCTTCGGGTTGGCTCAGTGGGCTGGGTGGTCATAGCGGCCGCCACACACCCTGGTGGTTGGATTTCAGGAGATGCTGAAGGACGTGTCTGAGAAGTCCCTGGAGGCACCGGCCGAGCTCCCTGGCGCACACTCCCAGGTGAGGGGCTGGGGGCAGGAGTCAGGCACACAGCATGGGGCTCTGTGGGCTGGATGCCCCGGGGACACAGTGGGTGCTGGGCCTGGCTCGCCCCAACACCTCCCCACTTAGTGTTCATACTGCTTGCAGAACTGAGCTTGGGGGATGGAGCCGGGTAACTGGAGGGACCGACACCCACTTCTGTTTCAGGCTTCGTCTGCAGGCCCCGCGCACTTAGCTGGAGGCAGCACCTGTGACTCTGGGTATGCGGGGCGGCACGTGGCTACTTGGGATTGCACGAGCTCACTGACACTGCAGCACCCCCAGCCTCCGGTGCCAGGGGCCTGTGGCCCGGGACTGGGATCTGGCCTGCAGCCAGGGCAGGTGCACAGGCCAGGGGCGTTCTCTGAGGGCCTCAGCATCCAAGACTTCCTGCCCACAGACCGCCAGGCTGAGCAGCCTGTGCACCCTGGTGCAGCCCCTGTCCTGGAGGAGGCGCTGCAGACCATCGGCTCAGACCTGCCTCCCTCTGCTGCGTGTGAAGTGGCGGGCACAGGGCCCCCTGGGCCACAGGAGTATGATTTCAGAACTATTCTGAGGCCAGCTATGGTCACCTTGGCTTCCCCAGGGGCTCTCCAGACCGTAGGAGGTGGCTCGAGTAATGACAGGCAGCGGCTGTGGGGAGACAGTCTCATGCAGCTGGAGGACACCTGTGTCCCAGATCTGCCTCACTCACAGCCCCCTAGGTCCAGATCCCCCCAGGAGGGGAGTAGCCAGGCCATGGAGCAGCTACTTGGGCACGTGCCAGAGAGCAGCATTCCCGCGGGGGGTTATGCTTCTGGGATGGCTCCCTCCCGACCACAGTGGAATATCTGTGCACACGTGTCTGATGCCAGCGTCAAGGTGGGAGAGAATGTGGACGACGTGGCCCCGTCCCGACCACGGTGGAACGTCCACGGGCACGTGTCTGACGCCAGCATCAAGGTGGGAGAGAACGTGTGCGACGTGGCCCCGTCCCGACCACGGTGGAACGTCCACGGGCACGTGTCTGACGCCAGCATCAAGGTGGGAGAGAACGTGTGTGACGTGGCTCCGTCCCGACCACGGTGGACTGTCCGTGGACATGTGTCTCAGTCCCACGTGGTGCTGGGTGCACTCGCTGGGGAAGGCCAGCCTGATACCCCCGGGCCCCACCAGAGCCCCAGTGACCATGCATCCCAGTCAGGCCTCGGCCTGGCAGCACAGAGCGCTGCTGGGGGGCAGGAGCCGCGGCGGCCTACAGACAGAGCCTCAGATGGCTCCTGTGGTCAGGCGGCAGGCTCCGGCAGCGGGGAGGCGAGTGGCCAGGCTTCGCTGTGTGCGGCGGCTGCGTCCAGGGTTCGGGGAGACGGCACCCCTGAGGAGCCAGGTCAGTAGCCCTAGGGCTGTCGTATCGCTGGTGGCACCGGGGACCCGAGGGGCTTGGGGCAAGGAGGAAGGGGAGGAAGCTGCAGCCCTGGGGACTAGGGAGGTGCCGCCTGGTAGGAGGCACTTGACCGTGATACTTCCTCCTGCCCAACTTGTGTTGCTCAGGGCCAGGGAAGAGCGGGGACAGTGAGGACCTCTCTCCAAGCCGCCCGCCAAGCTCACAGGTCAGGGCAGACGCGGTTGGGGGTCAGGGGTCAGCGGGATAAGTGGCGCTGCCTCCAGCCCGCCAGCCTTGCATGGGCAGTGAGGGCTTTGGCCTTTTGGGACGGGGCAGCATGTGTGGGATCCTCCCACCCTCGTCCGTGGAAGGGGCGAGTTTCTTGAGGCCCGGTCGTCCTAGGAAGGCGCGGCCGCTGGGAGCAGCCCTGGCCCCGGTGAGGAGGAGGCCGCCGCCCAGCGCTGCGGCCGGGAGCAGGCCTACCTGGCGGGCCTAGCGGAAGGGTACCGCCTGGAGCGGTACCCGGACAGCTACGAGGCCCTGTGTGAGTGGCCAGCCGCGTGGGGGGGGTGGGGGGTGGGGGCGGGAAGGCGGAAGGCCCCGCCCTGTCTTCGCTGCTTGACGACTGTCTGCCGTCCTGCAGCAGAGCCTCCTGTCGCCCACCTGCTACACCACGGGCTTCCCCGGGCCTTTGCCCTCCCGGAGGAGCCCCGGGTCCGGTCGGATGCGGATGAGACCGCAGTGGAGCTCAGCGAGCTGCTGCCGCTGCCCGTGCTCATGAAGCACTCCATCTCCGCGCCGCTGGCCGCGCAGTGAGTGCCCGCCCCGTGGCCCCGCCCCCGGCCGGCCCCGCCCCCGGCCGGCCCCGCCCCCGGCCGGCCCCGCCCCCGCACGTGACTCTAGGCCCCGCCCTCCCGCCAGTGTCTCCTTGGTGAACAAGGCCGCCGTGGACTACTTCTTCGTGGAGCTCGGCCTGGAGGCGCACTTTGAGGCGCTGCGGCACTTCCTGCTCATGGAGGACGGCGAGTTTGCACAGTCCCTCAGCGACCTGCTTTTTGAGAAGGTGACCCCTGGGCGAGATGTGGGTGCGGGCGTGGGTGGGCGGGTGCGGGGACTCCTTCGCTCCTTCGCGACGCCTGTGCGCTCTCCTGCCTCAGCTGGGGGCGGGGCAGACGCCCGGGGAGCTCCTCAACCCGCTGGTGCTCAACTCGGTGCTGAGCAAGGCGCTGCAGTACAGCCTCCACGGGGACACCCCCTATGCCGCCAACCTCTCCTTCGCCCTCAAGTTCCTGCCCGAGGCGTTTGCCCCCAACGCCCCGGATGTGCTGAACTGCCTGGAGCTCAGGTACAAGGTCAGCAAGGCCTGGCCGAGTGAGTGGGGCGCGGGCTGTGCTGCAGGGGCGGCCGAGCCACCCCCTCCTCCCTGCCCTCCTCCGCAGGTGGACTGGCCCCTCAACATCGTGGTCACCGAGAGCTGCCTGAGCAGGTACAGTGGCATCTTCTCCTTCTTGCTGCAGCTGAAGCTGATGATGTGGACGCTCAAGGATATCTGCTTCCACCTCAAGCGCACGGGTGAGGCCTGGCCGGAGCCCTCACTTGCCCCTGGCCCCCTCGCCCGGGGCCCTGGCCAACCTCTCTGCCCCCCACAGCCCTGGTGAGCCGCGTGGCTGGCTCGGTGCAGTTCCGCCAGCTGCAGCTCTTCAAACATGAGATGCAGCACTTTGTGAAGGTCACCCAGGGCTATATTGCCAACCAGATCCTGCATGTCACCTGGTGCGAGTTCCGGGCCCGACTGGCCAGGGTGGGCGACCTCGAGGAAATCCAGCGTGCGCACGCCGAGTACCTCCACAAGGCTGTTTTCAGGTGAGTGGCTCGCTGTGCCTGGGACTGTGGTGGTGGGACTCCCCCCACACCCCAGGACCGCCTGTCTCCCAGGGCCCCCCACCCTCAGTCTCCGCAGGGGACTGTCTCCCAGGCCCCCCACCCCCACCCCAGCAGCCGCCTGTCTCCGCAGGGGACTGTCTCCCAGGGCCCCCCACCTTCACCCCAGCAGCCGCCTGTCTCCCCAGGGGACTGTCTCCCAGGGCCCGCCCCCCACCCCAGCAGCCGCCTGTCTCCGCAGGGGCCTGCTGACTGAGAAGGCTGCACCGGTCATGAACGTCATCCACAGCATCTTCAGCCTGGTCCTCAAGTTCCGCAGCCAGCTCATCTCCCAGCCCTGGGTCCCCGCCAGCGGCTCCCGGGGCGCCGAGCACCCCAACTTCGCCCTCATGCAGCAGTCCTACAGCACCTTCAAGTACTACTCCCACTTCCTCTTCAAAGGTGACTGTCCCCCAGGGCCGGGTGGGCTCGGGGGCTGCAGGGCAGGAGCAAATGGGGGGGGCTGGCTGAGCTGCTCCCCCTCCCCCCCAGTGGTGACCAAGCTGGTGAACCGCGGCTACCAGCCCCACCTGGAGGACTTCCTGCTGCGCATCAACTTCAACAGCTACTACCAGGATGCCTGAGGCCGTGACACAGGTGCCCTCCCACCCTGCCAGCACCTGGTCTCCCTGGGAGGGCGGGCTGGGGCGCAGCGACCACAGAGACGTGGGAAAGCTGCTGGTTTATTTGGGGACCGTGGCCGCCCAGTAGGTGGGGGCAGGGCCGCCTGCTTCCCACTGCCAAGCGCCTGTCCTTGAGCGAAGCGGCTGTAACGGGGAGCGGCGAGCGTGGGGCGGGGCTGCGGAGTCTGTGTCAGACGGAGACGGGTCAGGTGCTGACTGGACGTCTCGGCCGTCATGGAGAGACGGGGCGGGGGGGGCGGCTGTCCGCGGGGTGCTCCCTGCCTCAAAGACCCGGTGGGGCTCGGGCCTCGGGGGCTCCACGTGTGGAGGCCTCCAAGGCAGTTACGAGGATCACGTCACGCACAGTTCTGCCGCCCAGAGCGGGGGCTTGGCGCTGTAGGGGTGCCCCCCGCTGCCTGCCCCGCCGGCCCCCTCAACCTCTGGCACCTCGGTGGCCTCCCCCTCCGTGCAGTAAGGGGTTTCCAGTAGCTTCAGCACCCGCCGCACCTGGAGAAGGGCAAGGAGAGGGGTTTTAGGGCCTGCCCGTGCCTCGCCCATCCCCTGCTGCTGGACGCAGGGACGGAGGGGGACAGGTGTCTGCTTGCCTCTGAGAAGTCTCCGTTCTCGGCAGCCTCGATGGCATTTTGTGCGATGTAGTTCCGCAGGATGTACTTGGGGTTGTTGGCACGCATGACGCGCAGGTGCTCAGCCAGCCAGGCGTCACTGTCGCCGGAGCCCTCCCTGTCCTTCTCCAGCCGGGCTCTGGAAGCACATCTGAGTTCGTCTTTCCAGCAGGTACCACCGCCCCACCCCTCCCGTGCTTGGTTCCCTGCACGGGGGTCGTCTGCAGCCCCGTCACGGGAGGGAAGATGGTGACACGGGCAGTCAGTGCCCCCGACCTGGAGCCTCACCTGTACTCCTGGAGCCAGTCAGCCCAGTGGCCCCTGTTCCTGCTCAGCAGCTCGGCCGAGCTCAGCTGCTCCAGCCGCGACTGCTGCTCCACTCGCTCCAGCTCCTTGGTGACGTTCGCCCGGGTGCCGATGAGCGCGAAGAGCTGAGGGTTCGACTGTGCCAGCATCAGCATCATGGAGAGCTGCCTGCGCGGAGGGGACGCGTGAGGCGCGTCCCCGCCACTGGCTGTGGGCCGTGTCCTGAGACCACCGGGCACCCGGAAGACGGCTGTCTGGGCACGGAGGAGGTGGCGATGGCTTCAGCGGCTCTGGCTCTGCTGTGCCACCACCGACAGCCCCGTGGGGCGGGGACCGGGGCCTGAGAGGCGAGGCAGCGTCCACCCCTGCTCTGCGGCAGCGCTTCCGTGTCGTGGCACGAGCGCGCCGGGGGCGGATGCTGCAGGCTGACTCCTCCCGGCCGCCTGGCATCTGCCCATGTCCCAGCCCCGCACAGACGTCCCCCAGGGGAAGGTCACCGCTTGCTGCTTCTCCACAGTGACCCCAGTGCTGGGTCCTCGAGGGCCTGGTGAGCAGGGACGGCCATGACACCCCCTCCCCAGTCACGCTGGCTTTGTGCTTCGCAGGTCCTGCTGGTCTGTCGTCCCTGCGCGTGCCGGGAACCGAGGGCCACTGGCCACGCCGCTGCACTAAATTCTCTCAAACCCCAGTCTGTTGGCTTGTCTATCAAAACCCGGAAACCGTGCTTCCCGTGTCCTACTGTGGGTAACGGGCTGCACCCTCAGGACCCCGTGGGCTCCTCCCAGGGGGAGGTGGTGCAGGAAAGCGCGAGGGCCCACCAAGTTCTTCCAGGGCAGGCGCGAGCCATTCTGGGAAGCTGTCCCCTGGCCTGTGCCACTGCCCTTCCCTGACCAGTGGGTCTGACCACCTCCCTCCCCCAGGTGCCCTAGCTAGCTCTCCCCAGCGTGCTCTGTTCTAAATGTCCTCTCCTTCTGGAAGCACATTCCAAGGCAGCGAGACCTGGGTACCCACCGGGGGTCCATCTGGGGTCGGAAGGCGAGCTTCAGCTCCTCCAGGGAGGCACACTGTGCGGTCAGCGCGTCCAGGAACTCAGGCGCGTCCAGGGGCTCCGGCCCAACTGGGAAGGAGCTCAGCAAGTAGAAGGTGTTCGTGAAGTCGGCACCTGGAACACGCCACTGCTCAGGGCGCAGGCGGAGGCCCGGTCCTTGCCCACCAGCGCCCACACTCGGGGGTCCTCGTCAGGGTCGGGTCATGGGCTCCCGACCCCTCCTCTCCAGCCTCCTCCTCAGCCCCCGCACACCAGCCACCCAGCTTGGCCACCACTCCGGGGCCCGCAAAGGCCCTGAGGTCATCCCCTGGCCACCCCCCGTGCTCACAACCCCCACTGCCCACTTCAGGAGCTGCCGGGCGTCAAGGAGAAGCCCCTGAAACAGAATAAACGGGGCTCAACATAACAACAGATACTCTGAGTCCTTGGCCTGAGTTGTTAAAACACAAGGAAAACATCCTAAAAATACACACAGACAGAGATGAATCAGGACAGTAAACCATGAAACACAGAAGCCGTGATGGAGGAAGTGAGGGACAAAAATGGGGTAGGACACAGCAACCCCGAGCGGAACGGCAGAGTCTTCATCGGTTGGGACTCCGAGTAAACGGATTAGCAGGCCGCCGCTCTGCGGCCCGGGCCACCCCTCCGCAGCGGCGCGCTCCACGAACTGCTCTAGCTTAGAAACGAAACAAAACCTGGCAGGATGGGTTTCAAAAAGGCGAAAAGACGACTACGGGGGCGCCCGGGGGCTCAGTGGGGTGTCCGACTCGTGGTTTGGACTCAAGTCATGATCTCACAATCTGTGGGCGCGAGCCCTGTGCTGGGCTCTGCGCGGACGGCCCTGAGCCTGCTTGGGATTCTCCCCGTCTCTCCCCTGCGCGCTCGTGCACATCCTCTCAAAGCAAAGGTACACACTATCCCTAAGACACTTTCAACTGGTCGAATCAGACGAGTCGATTTTCAGTAAACAACCCGCAAATGACAAGGGTTTTCCTTACATCTTGTTAAAACGGTCAGTTCGTCAGACTGTAAGTAAACGTGCCAAACAAGCACCAGAACTTACAAGTCAACGTCCAGAATGTAAGGAGAAGCGGGCAGTTCTCTGAGAGTTGGCGGCTCTAGCGGCCAACTCTGGACAACGGGGTGTCCGGACCGCGGAACCACAAGGACACGGGGGCCTCGAAGGCTGTCACGCGACTGCATCAGACCCCCACAGACCCCCATCCCATCTTCTCAGGCACCAGGGACGATCTCCAGGACAGGTGATGTGTTCGGCCATAAAACAAGTATCAATATGTTTAAAAAGACTGTTATCTCCTCCAGCCACAGTGGAATGAAGACAGAAATCACAAACAAGGAAAACTGGAAAATTCACAAATAATGTAACATTTAACCAGTGGGTCCAAAAAATAGAAATAAAAAAAATCACAAGGGAAATTAGAAAATACTTAGAGGCAGAAAAATTAAAAAAACAACATAACTGAAATTTACAGGACGCCACAAAAGCAGTGGTCAGAGGAACATTTAAGGTGCTAAGTACCTATGTTAAGAGACCAAATGTCAATTACAAGGAAAAAGAAAGTTTGTAGCTGTGTGGTGATGGATGTTAACTATACTTACATGGTGATCATTTTGCAATGTGTACAAATAGTCACGTTGTACACCTGCAACTAATAGTGTTATGTGTCAGATCTCAAAAAGATCTCAATAATTTCATGTTACACCTAAGGGACTAGAAGAACAAAATAAGACCAAAGCTGGCAGAAATGAAGGAGATAAAGGTTAGAGCAGAGATAAATGAAACAGAGAACAAAAATCAGTGAAACCAAGAATTAGCTGGTTCTTTGAAAAGGTACCAAGATTGACAAACTTTTAGCTACTGACAAAAGTAGGCGCATGTAACTAAAACCAGAAATCAAAGTGGGGACAGGAGTAGTGATCACACAGAAATAAGAGACTCCGCGAAGACTGAACAACAACACGCCGATAAGTTAGACGACGCAGATGCAATGGACAAATTCCCAGAAACACAACCCACCAAAACAGACTCGAGAAATAGAAAATCTGAGAAGTCTTGTAACAAATAAGGAAACTGAATCAGGGATCACAACGAAGGAACGTTAGGGCCAGACAGCCTCGCTGGTGAGTCCCCCACAGACCAGTTCTCACCAGTCCTGAAAAGCAGGACAGAACGTTTGCTGACGCATCGTGTGAGAGCAGCAGCGCCCGGGCCCTGACGCCGCAGGCCAGCCTCCTGCACAAGGACCGACGGGCCCTCCTGGGGGTCTGCGCCCGCTCTGCTCTCTGCCCGGAAAGGAGGCCCTCCCCGCACCTGACCACCCTGCACCCCGATCTCCAGCCTCCAAGACGTGACAGATCGATGTGTGCCGGGTACGCCGCCGGCCTGGGTGCTTTACTGCGGTGCTTCAGCCTGACTAAGGGTGTGACGGGAGTGCCTTCTCCTACGTGCTCCTCTCAACTGATGCAAAATGGTAAAAATAAACTAGAAAAGAAAGAAACGCTCAACTTCACAAAAGCCATATCTGAAAAAGCCACGGACAACCTTCTCCTTGACGGTGACAGACGGAGCGCGCCCCCCGCTCCCCTACGGGCAGGAGCGAGGGCATGCCCGCGGTACCACTTCCGGGCACCGCGGTGCAGGAAGTTCCAGCCTGAGCCCTCGGTCAGGTCCACGCGGGAGCGCAGCCCCAGGTAACTGAGCAGGGACTCAGATGCCTACCTGTACGTGTTTCCGCAGCAGTGTTTTCCACACCAGCCCAAGAGTGAAAACAAGTGTGCATCAGTCCATGACGGGGGAACAAAGTGTGGCCCCTGCACACCACAGGGTACCACTCAGCCCGCAAAGGAACAGGATCCTGACACGTGCTGCCCTGCAGACGAGCCTCGGGCACACTGTGCTCCGTGAAGGCGGCCGCACACACGGGCCACTCCTGTGTGGACCCATCTCGTAGGAGGGCCCTGGAGGAGTCAGATCCACAGGCGGAGGGCAGAGCGGGGGCGCGGGGGCTGGGAGGGGGCTGGGGGCGGGTGTCATGGGGACGGGGTGTCGGTTTCATACACAGGCCTGGAGACGCCAGGGACGAGGCTGCGGCACAGTGAATGCGCTTGGCGCCCCGACCCGCCTGCTTTACGGTTAACGTGGTTCGCCTTACGCGCGGTCATTTCACCGCGGTGAAGACGCCCGGCCCCACGTGGCGCACTCGCCCTGCGCACGCTCACCAGTCAGGCGCATGGTCTCCAGGAGCCCGGCCACCAGCGCCCCGTCGCCCTCCAGCTCGGCGCGCACCAGGCCCAGCTTCCTGCGCATCTTGTGCAGGTGGTGCCGGCGGAACTCGGCGTCGAACTCCTCGGCCAGGATGGCCTCGCCCAGCTCGCGGGGCAGCTCAGGCTCCAGGGCCTCGGCCAGCTTCTGCAGGTTCCATTTGCACACTTCGGGCTGCTTGCTGTATGCGTAGCGCCCGGCGCCGTCCGAGGCGTTGCACACGTGGTCGGGGTCGTACCTGCCACACGGGGGGAGGGGGCCTCGGGATGATGCGGGACCCCGGGGGCCCGGAGGCCACGCCTGTGAGGCTGCTGCTCTCCCACCCCTAACCCACCAGGGCCCCTGCTCACCGCCCGCTCCCGCCCTGGCCCCTTGGGTCCGTTTCCAAGCAGGCATTTCCAACAGTTACCCGCTGAGCAAAACGTCGGTGAGAACAGGTGCGCGCCCGCGGGCCTCTCCCCACGGCCCCCGCGCCGCGCCCGGGGCCGCACACCTGTCCAGGAAGCCGAAGGGCCCGTAGTCGATGGTGAGCCCCACGATGCTCATGTTGTCCGTGTTGAGCACACCGTGGCAGAAGCCCACACACTGCCACTCGGCCACCATCCGGGCTGTGCGACGTGTGACCTGCGGCACGACAGGCGCGGGTTGCCCCCCAGCCCCGGCCCCTTTCCCGCCCCGATTCCCGCAGGGCCCGTCCCCCCCACCGACACCCGCAGGGGAGGACGAGCAGGTGCCGTCTCCCTCTTCCTGCCTAACTGTGGCTTTTACCCAAGAAACCAAAAATCCCAGGGAACCTCGACAGCCCCGACCTGGGCCCAGGAGGGTGACTGCCCAGACACAAGGAAGTCAGCACCCGAGCAGACAAATCCTGCCCTCGGTCCGGGCGGCTGTGCCCGGGGCCCGTCTTGTCCTGTGAGCCGCTGGCCAAGGAGGCCGATGACCTACCCGCCTCGGCCGGGTGGGCCACACACCTCCCCCGCGCATCCGCCGCCCACGCGGCCCCCCCGGGGTTGGGGACGGGGAGCTACCGACAGAAGGGCAGGGACACCCGGTGAGACCCTCTGCCCACGAGCCCAGCAGACCTGGCCGCCGCACCCACCTCGCGGAAGAAGGCTGCGTTCCTCTGCACGCTGTCGGCGGCGTGGGCGGCCTGGATCTCAGGATAAAACGTGCCAATCACATAGTCAAGCATCTGTATGCGGATGTCATTCCTCCCCACGCTGGGGCCCTCGCGCCCTGTGTGCTCATCTGCGGACTTAAAAATCTCAAAGGATCCGAACCTGGGGGGAAGACCCAAGTTGGTAACAGGTCAAACAAGACTCTGCCCTGGTGGAGAGAAGAGAGGTGTGGCCGCCAGACCCTGGCCCGGAGCGGGAAACTCCCGGATGAAAACAAAACCCCGCAAAAGCAGAGCCCATCTTCCAGTGACACAGACAGACCCAGCCGGAATCTGGTCAAGTCCGTGCGGGAGGCCCAGGGATGCAGGGCTGACTCCAGGCACGAGGAGGGCTCTGTGCCCACCCCCCTGCGTCAAGGAGCACGTCAGTGACAGGCATCCTGCGGTGGGGTGACGAACAGGGTCAGCACTGGTTCTCCACTGGGGTGTTGGGGTCACCCAGAGGGTGAGGCTCTTTGGAGACATTTTTGGTTTTTAGGTCTGGCATCAGCCCCGGCAGCTGGTGGGTGGGGGCTGGGGACGCCTCCTGACCCCCTGCCAGGCTCAGGGCGGCTGCGCATGAAGAGCGGCCCGGTGCCACCGCGGGGAGAAGCCCTGGGTCTCCCAGGGCAAGGCTGATGACCTGCCTGGCTCCTCTGTCCCCCAGGGTACAAAAGAAAAAGTCAGGGGCTCTCTGCTTCAGGCGTGGGTGGCCCGCAGGTGCCAAGGGAATGGCCCTGTTACCCCGATACACACAGGGTCTGCCGGGCTCCGGGGGCGGGGGGACCAGGCCACAGCCATGTCCTGACAAGTGTGACTTCAGGGGATCAGAACAGAGTGTGTGATACCAGACAGCGTGGTGACATCAAGGGGTAACAGGCTGGCATCAGAAACGGGAACCGGAACGGACTCTAGTTAATGAACCGAGCATGAGAACGGCCACAGCCAACTGTGTGGAGTGGCCCTGTGTTCAGAGTGACACAAATGAGGCCATTTTCTTGGTGACTTTGATGCAGTTCTTTGTCACAAGCTCCCAAGTATGCAGCTCTGTACCTGCCCCTTCCCAGAGCCCCACATTTGGGCAGCCCCTTTTCTGGCTACCGGAGGCCCCTGGACCCGTTCACTGCTGCCTCAGGGGCCCCGCCCATGCCAGCCTCGCTGTGGCTACACAGCTGGTCACCTGGTGGGAACGGGCCGGGTCAGGGAGTGTGGGTGGGCCAGGCACAGTGACCCCCACGTGGGCCGGGGCTCCTGCCCAGAAAATGCCCAGTGCCTTTTACACTTGCGTCTCCCTCTTGTGGGTGCAAAGCATCTACCTCCTGGCTGGTGCGCTTGTGCTGTTCTAGGGCCCGCCGTGGGATGGGTTCCAAACAGGGGTCACCGTGGGGCGTTTGGTCTACCGGACTCCCCGCTGTTTAAGCACAGACCTACAGCCTGATACGGCCAGCGTGCAGACGGCACGAGGGGCCCCGGCGTTACCTCAGGAAAGTGGAAGCTATACGCAACACAACCGTGCACTTCTCGTATCTGGGGTTACCGTCATAGAACACGTCGCGAACGACTGTGGACTGGGACGTGACGCAGGCCCCGGCCCGCGTGGTGGGGATGCCCAAGTGGAACATGGCTTCGCTGCACAGGAACTCTCGGATGCTCGACCGCAGGACTTTGCGGCCGTCAGCCTGTCTGAAATCAAACACAGGTCACCGTGCCGTCAGGCGGGGGTCCATCCAACACCAAGCTTCAGGCAGCAGGTGGGAGGGACTGAAGGCATCCTAGGGGCTTCTTAAAACCATTCACCGGCAGCTCAAGCATTACGCTCACTTGCGCACCTGCAGCCCAGTTTTTATAAAGCATCTGTTGTACGAGCGCGCGCCTCCCGCAACGCGCACGGCATCAGCTCGGAGGGGGGGTCTCAGGGTCCCGTGGACGGCCTTGGACGGCCTGAACTGCTTTACCCCAAGCCTCCACTATGATGAAGACTTTATCAGAGCAGCTCTAGACTCGCGGCAGCAACGACAGGAAGGTGCCTAGGCCCCCTGCCGCCCCCACGGCCTCCTCTACCGTCAACGTCCCCACCAGGTGGGACACGTGTTACCACCCGCAAGTCACGCGCCATGATGGCTCAAGGTCCACGTTTAAACGCGGGGTCACACCCAGTGCTGTGTACTCTGTGGGTTTGGACGGAGGGGTAATGACGTGGGTCCATCATTATGGCACCACACACAGACCACGACTGGCTTAACATTCTCATGCCTCGCCTGCACCCCTTCCCCTCCCCTGCAACCAGTGATCTTTTCCTCGTCTCCAGAGTCCCGCCTGTCTTGGAGGGTCGCGGCCGGAGTCGCAGCGCAGACCAGCTCCTTTCGCGTCGGCCTCCTCCATGTCTTCTCCGGGCCGGAGAGCTCGCTTCTCAGCGCACAGCGGGTCCCTCTGTCCGGAGGCGCCACTGTCCACGCGTCCATTCACCTCCTGAAGGACATCTTGCGTGCTTCCAGGTTTTGACAGGTCTCAGTAAAACTGCTGCAAACCTCTGCGCGCAGGGCTTTGTGTGGACACAGCGCTGGGCCACGGGGCAACAGCGCAGCCTGGCACCCACTAGCAAGGAGCCTCCCGGCGCCCGGTGCCATCAGTGCCCTGGGTCTGGGTCCCCCGGCAGGCGCATGGTGGGATCTCGTCGCTGTGTGGCTTTGCATTTCCCCGGTAACGCACTCTGTGAAGCATCGTTTCAGGCGCTTACTGTCCCTCTGTACCTCTTCCTTCGTTCTGGTCTGTCCAGGTCTTTGGCCCATTTTAAAATCAGGTTGTTTTTGTTTTCTTATAGTTGAATTCAAGGTGTTCTTTGTATCCTTTGGGTAACACTTCTTTATCAGATGTGGCTTTTGCAAATATTTTCCCCAGTCTGTGGCTTTTCTTTTCACTCTCAATTTTGTCTATTGCAGAGCAAAAAAGTTTTACCTTGAATGGGGCCCATCTGATCAATGACTTTTCATGTCTTGCATTTGGTGTCAGATCTTAAAAATCATGTCCAAACCGAACGTTTTCTATTTTGTCTTCTAGGAGTTTTACACTTTTGTATTTTACATTTAGGTTTATGATCCTTCTGAGTTTATTTTTGTGAAGGGTGGCAGGTTCAGGCCTAGACACGTTGTGTGTGTGTGTCCAGGTGTCCCAGCGCCATTTGTTGGAATGACGATCTTTGTCGCTTTGTCAAGATCAGCTGGCTGTACCGAGGGGTCCGTCCATTGTTCCACTGAGTTCGTCCTTCACCAACGTGGGGTTTTCTTAATGACTTTAGTTTTATAGTAAAAGGCTCGACGTCCGCGAGTGCCGGTCCTCCAGTCTTGCTGTTCTTCACGTTACGTCCGTCATTCTAGGTCTGCTGTGTCTCCATATGAACTTCAGAGTCCTGCTACCCGTATCTGCAAAGCACCCGAGGTGCTGGCATTGAAGTCAAACTGGGAACAAGTGACTTCTTGACAATCCTGAGTCTTCCTGTCCAGGGACATGTAACGTCTTTCCACTTCTTTAGTTCTTCTTCGATATCTTTTATCAATTTTGTGATTTTCCTCATAAAGATCTCGTAAATATTTTGTTAATACCTAAGTATTTCATTTTGAGGGGCGCTAATGTAAGCAGAACTGTTTTAATTTCAACTTCGAATTGCTCACTGCGTCTACAGCGAAGGGACTGACTTCTGTAGAACTTCAGACCCTGCAGCTGTAACTGCGTCCTGGTTCACTTGTTTGGTCACACCCTTGAGATCGTCTACAGGTGTTCGTCTGCAGACAGGGGCGGTTTTGTGTCTTCCGTCTCCATCTGTACACCTTTAATTTCCTTCTCTTGTCTTACCGCATTGGCAAGGGCTTCCAGTATGATGCTGAAAGGCAGTGGTGGGGAAGCAACTTTCCCTGGTCTCTGATCTCAGCGGGAGAGTTTCCAGGCTCTCATCACTATGCAGATGGTAGCTGGAGGTTTTCTGTACATATTCTTCATCAATTTGAGGAAGTTCCTCTCTTCCCAGTTTACTGAATTTTATCGCAAATGCTTTTTCTGCACGTACTGCTCTGATCATGGCGCTCGGGGCTCTATGAGACACAGGACTCCTGCCTCGCCCTGCTTGTGTACGGCTCCTGCGAGTGTGACCCCTGGAAACCAGACCTGGCAGTCACCCCGGGGCTTCCCGTGTCGGCCTCTGGCCAGTGTGACCCTCAGTTCACAGCTGCATTCCACTCACCTCCCTCTAGTCTGCGTGAGGAGTTGTGACAAGGAAACCGGTCTTCAAATGTCACTCCACCCTCCCTGGCCCTGGGACTCCTTCTCACCCGGTTAGATTTCATGTTAGGAGGAAGTTGGCACAGCCCAGTTTAATCCTGAATCTGATAGAAATGGCCGTAAAAATAAGTAGGCGGTATTCTCGCTCAAGGCAGGTTCCCAAAGCAAAAGTCAGAACTGAACAGTCGATTACACAGCAAGGGTAAAGGGCCTCAGAGAGCAGTCCTGCCCCCACAGAGCCTAAGGACACATGACAACAGTCCCTTGTCCTGTACACCCGTGTCTGTTCCCAGCCCAGCTGCTGGGACGGACCCAACTGAGACAAGCTCTTCTGTACCTGCCAGGAGACGCATGTCCTAAAATCCTAACCCCCATGGCAGACAGGAGGCAGAGGCAGGAAGTCAACGGTCCACCCCCAAAACCCACACCTGGGTAGCCAGCAGCAGCTGGCTTTAAGCCACTGTAGCCACTTTGGATGTTAGCCTCAAGTCTTGCTGACACTGGGGACCACATGACACATGGAGGGGTGGGGTGGGGTACGCGGGTGCCAACCTGAATAAAGGTTAAATAACCCCTTTTCTTTAAAGAAAAAATATTCTAGGTGCACCCGGGCGACTCAGTTAAGTGTCCACCTCGATTTCGGCTCAGGTCGTGACCTCACAGTTTGTGGGACTGAGCCCCACGTCAGGCTCTGCGCTGAGCGTGGAGCCTGCTTGGGATTCCCTCTCCCTCCTTTTGCCCCTCTCCCACTCGCTCACTCACTCTAAAAATAAATATTTAAAAAAAAATATGCTAGCAGACCTCAGGTCTAAAAACACAGGACTTAAAACTCAAGTCTTCAAATATAAAAAGCAAGTCCCGATGGCATATTAGTCACGAAAAGGTTTGTCTTTATAATTGGCAAAAATAAATGACCAAAGAGGGATACGTGAAGTTTAAAGGTGCTCAGAGGACTGAGCAGGCCCCAGGGTGAGAGGCGTTCACATCATTACAACGGGCAGAAACTTCCATTAGGCCCTGGTGCAGGCGGCTCTGAGCAGGTGCAGGTGTTGGCGGTGGTGGCGCGAGGCTCAGCTCAGCCTTCATCCACAGAAAGGTCTGGAGGCTGGGGGACGAGGAAGAACCAGGTGTTCTATAGGTCAGAGATGGAGCTGCTGGGGGGGGGGGGGCATATTGCGTCCCTGGAGGGAGGGCAGAGGGAACTGGGCAGAGGAGACACGGCCTCAGGAGTTCTCTGAACCTAAAATGACAACTGAGGTATAACTTTTTCAGCCACTTAACAAGCATGGACTAAATGCGCGAACTGTTTGCCAGGAAAGGGCAGAACGGACGGTCAGCACAGTCTGTACCTAAGAGGCAGGACGGCCGTGAGAGCGCCTGCTGGGTCGGGCCGTTGGGATCTGGACCCAGGCTCTGGCCCACAGGTGCCTGGAAGCCTGTGCTTGGGAGAGCGTCCCCTGGGGGAAGGTTCTGCGGAGTCTTGTCCCTGCCCAGGGCCCCGGCCACACACCGTGCATCTGGGACGCCAGCGCTGGAGGCAAGCCGACTGCCCAAGTGGCTCTGAGAGGAAGGCTGTGCTGTCTGTGAGGCTGCTCACAAGTCACCCTGCCTGCCCTGAGCTGGCGGCCAGGCGGGGCGTGGGGGGAGGAGTGTTACAGAACGGATTCCAAAGTCCCTGTGTTGTTTACGAGGGCAGGGCGAGAACAGCTGCCAGTGCTCTGTGACCAGATGCCCCGACACCAAACGCGGCAGGGTCCCCTCACTGTGCCCGTCACAGGGGACGAGGGCACCTGGCAGCAGCATTTCAGCGGGCACTGCCCCTCCTCCTGTCCTCTCCTTTTGATCTCAGGGCCTTTGCACCAGCTGTCCCCGCCTCCAGGATGCTGGGACCCCTCCCGTGTTGTGTCCCTGGGCCAAACGTCCAGGGAGGGAAACGGGCCGCGCACACCGCCCGCCCCCGATCCCACCTGCCGAAGGCGTGCGGGCCCCGGCACCCGCCCGGGGAAGGGCCCACCTGGAGAAGGGCGTGGGGCCGGCGCCCTTGAGCTGCAGCTCCCAGCGCTCGCCGGCCGCCGTGCACACCTCGCCCAGGTACATGGCGGCGCCGTCGCCCAGCTGCCCCGCGAACTGGCCGAACTGGTGGCCACAGTAGCAGTGCGCGGCGGGCTCGGCGCCCGGCAGCAGCGCGTTGCCGCTGAAGAAGAGCGCGGCCTCGGCCTCGCGCGCCTCGCGGGCGGCGGCGGCGGCGGGCGGCGCGCCCAGGCCCAGCAGCGCCAGCGCGGGCTCCGACAGCGCCACGAGGCGCGGCTGCTGCAGCGGCGCGGGCCGCACGCGGCTGAAGCAGGCGCCCGGCACGGCCCGCGGCGCGGACGGGGCGCCCTCGGGGCCGGGCGGCGGCGTCTCCACGGGCAGCGCGCGCAGGGCGCGGTTGTCGAAGCGCAGCCCCGCCAGCCAGCGGGGCGCCGGCTCCATGGCAGCGCCGCGTGCGGCGGCAGAGGCGGAGCAGGGCGCGTGCGGCGGGCGCCGGCCCAGGGGCCGCGACCGGACACTGGCTGCCGCGAGCAGAGCTCTGAGCGCGGCCCGGAGAGCGGCCATCCGCGCTGCGGCGGAAGTCCCTCTGCCCCGACCGGAAGCCCCGGTCCGCGTACCCTGCCGCCCAATCACCGGGGGAGTGGCGTTTACTATTGCGCCTGCGCGGGCCGCGCCCGCGAAAGCCTGTCTCTGACTGGCTGCGCCGTGCGCGTGTCCGCTCCTGCGGGTCCGCCCCGCGGCCGCGGAGTTGGGGGCGTGGGGGAGGGAAAAGGACTCGCGCGCGCGTGGCTCGTCCGCCACGGCCGACGGGGAGGTGGGGCAGCGCGGGAGCGGCCGTCTAGAATGGCTGCTCTGCGTGAGGAGCCGGCAGGTCCCCGAAGGTCCGACCCGGGAAGCACCGGACAGTCTGGACTGAGAGCTCCGAGTGGGGCGACTGTGCCGAGCGACGCCCCTAGTAGGCCGCCAGGGCGAAGCCAAGGTCAGCCCCGGCCCCGCGCTGTGCCGAGGATCTGTCTTCGGATCGCCCTCCGCTAAGCCGGGCACCGCGACAGGAGGGGAAGTTTGTCCCGGAGGGTCGGTGGGGACAGGCCGGGAAGAGCCCCGGGGCAAAGCCGCAGCTGAGGTTGGACAGGACTCTGGCCTGGCTCCTCCGGTGCAGGAGCGCCTCTGTTTCCCTCTGTTCGCAGCAGGATTCCTCACATGAGCTTCGGATCCCGCGCCCACCCGGGCCCACGCCTCCTGCACCCCGTTTTCCTTGCATAGCACTTCTCTGAAAGGAGCCCAAGTCCGTATTTTCCTGTTTCTTCTGGGTCTCTCTCCTCACCCGTGCTCCGGGAGGGCAGGGTCTCGAGGAGCTGGGTGCCCCTTCTCCCACAACAGCACCTGGCCGTGGACGCGCAGGAGGCTAGAGAGCCGAGCCTGGCTTTGAAGGGTCTGCACCCCCCACCCCCGCCCCCTCAGGGTCACTCTGCAGAATAACTCAGGTGGGCACTTCGGAGGAGCCCTGACAAGACCCCTTGGTGCCTGCACGGAGCAGGTGGCCCTTGAAGGGTTTGCCAGCGGCCTCCCTCCCCCCCGGGGCCCCATGCTAGAACTGGAGACCAGAAGCCGGGCAAACACACAGGCTCTCTCCTGGCTGGATTCTGCGTTTAAGTTCAAGGAGCCACCTCTGGAACTTTCTCCCGGGGCCACACATGGGCTTCCCAGACCTCATGTGAACCATCTCTGCCGCTGCCAGCTGTGTGGCAGTGGGAGACCCCTCAACCCCTTTCCAGCTCAGAGTCCTCATCCGTGTGGGGGCAATGAGGTTAGGTCCCCAGGGATGCTCAGTGCCCCAGAGTCTCTGCACTGACACTTTCCCTCCCACCTGGGCCTACCTAGGGCTTCTTCACTTGGCCTGCTGCCAGAGTCCCCTGTTCCCTCCTTCCTAACTGCCCATGGGACCTGGCCTGAGCCTAGTAGCCTAGTGCACCCTTCCCGTCTGCCCCAGGTCCCGCCCCCTTCTGACTCATCTCCGCCCCCTATCCCACCCCCCACCCCGCCCCCGTCTTACCCACACTTTGGAATCGGGTGGGATCAGGTTCTTGGAAGGCTCAAGAGCACAGGCTCTGTATCCTGCGGGCCGCCCTCCCAGAGGTCACGGCCAGTGGGGGCATCTGCTGGGTGCCAAGAGTTCTAGCCCATCAGCAGGGACGGGTAGTGCCCTCCCAGACCTGGTGACCTTGCTTCTGGCCTCAAGGTTGGGCTGCGCAGCTTCGTGGATTTCCCCAGGTGCATGGACAGGTGCCCCGGGTGGGCAGCGCTGGGTCTGGGCAGCCAGGCTGGGCAGGAGCTGGGCCCAGCCCCTCCTCTGTCCCCACCCCAAGGAAGACACCGCAGACAGCCGGGCTTGAACATTTAATGAGGCTCGGCCGAGGACGGGCCTAGGCCTTGTGGGAAGCAGTGGTGCGCACGCGCAGCACGCTGGAGCGCAGGGTGGGCTGATGGTCACCCGCGGCCCAGCGCATGCCTGAGGGGGCCCCTCCGCGCCCCGGCCACAGCCCGTTGAGGTCAGCTTGGCCGCAGTTGCTGTACCACCAGCCGGCGCCTGAGCGATCGCGGCTGCAGCTGGTGAAGGTCTGGGTGCCGTCCGTGCAGGGCGAGCAGCGGTCATGGTCGCGGTCCAGCGTGCTGAAGCCACAGCCCTCTTGATTGTCTGTGCCACCGGAGCCCCGGAACGCGTCCCCTGCGCGGTGTGGTGGCGTGGGTGGCGGGCCGGCTGCCCCTCTGGGCCATGCTCCCATCGTGGAGCTGTACTGGCTGCCTCAGCGTCTGGGACCCCAGGGTGGATGCTTGGGGAGCGACAGTCTTGCCCAGAGCACAGAGGCTGGCAGATGTGGGCCCGAAGCCGGGGTTTCCAGGGACTCGGCCTTCCCTACCCGCCCTGGCCCCATGGCAAGATCACCCCTCCCCTCAGCCTGGAGAGCCCAGTGGGCAAAGCGGGACACTCGGGGGGCAGGCACAAGGCCCCCTTACCCCCCGGGCACTCACCTGTGTTCCCAGAGTACAGGCCAAGGGTCAGCCGGTAAAACAGGTCCTCCCCATCCACGTGGAAGTTGTCATAGTGGCCCTGAAGCGTGTGGTTGTCCACGCCCAGGTCCACCACGAGCTCTGAGCGCAGGCCAGGCTGGGAGGTCAGGTCAGAGATGTGCTCCAGCCCCAGCCAGTGGTCGCCTGCAGGGGGCACCCAGGCTGAGCTGCCGCGGGACGGCCAGCCCCAGCCTCCTCCCGCCAGCTCGGCCCTGCGCGCCCAGGGACCCCCAAACACGAGGCCTCGGGGTGCCCGCCGCAGGCACACAGCTCCCCTACCTCTCAAGTCTCCGAAGCCCTGTTTGTACTCCTGCCAGCATCTCTCGAAGTCCAGACGCCGCGGCCTGCCCCAGTCCCGGCTCTGAATCACCGTCCAGCCGCCGTCGTCGCGCATGTCGCACAGAGCCTGGGGGAGGGCCGGCACGTGCTGGGCAGCGCCCGGCTGGGCCCCTGGCCCCTGCGCGCGCCCCTAAACGCTCTCTGTCGTAAAACTGAAACTGTTTTTCTGCTTGTCCGTGTCATGTAAACTTTCATCAGGGTGAGTCTGGATTCTCGGAAACGGGGGGGATTCACGGTGGCGTCCCAGGCGCTTTGACGCGAGTCAGTCTGCACCTGCGCTGGGGCTTCGTGTTTTCGTCTAACGTTGGATTCTGGAAACTTTCCTTGTTCAAACCTTTACAGGTGGAAGTTGGGGTTTCTCTCAGCCTTTCCTGACTATAAAACAATGACTGTGGGGCTCAGTCAGTTAAGTGTCTGACTCTTGGCTCGGCTCAGGTTATGCTCTCAGTTTGTGAGTTCAAGCCCCGGATCGGGCTCTGTGCTGACAGTGTGGACCCTGCTTGGGATTCTCTCTCGCTCTCCTGCTCCTCCCCACTCGTGGACATACACATCTCAACCTCTTTCTTTCTGTCTCTCAGAATAAACACTAACATACACACACACACAAAACGTTAAAAAGCCCCCCAACGAAGTCCGTGACCACCTCTGTGCCCAGGGGTGTGCAAGGACGGACTCTACCAGCAGTGCCCGGCCAGCCCTTCCCTGTCACCTGAACAAGTGACTTCCCTTGTTTTGGCCCAAGCAATTGGCACGGAGTCTCTCCCGGCCCCCGGGGTGCTGCAGCTGCTCACCTGGAACGGGGCGCCGGCTCCCTCTGGCTGGACGGTGTACACTCCACTGGGGGCCCCGGGCCTCTCCCTCCAGATCTGAGAACAGTCCCTCCCTGCGGGAGATGCGGCCAGGAAGGCTCAGGGCCTGGGAGGGGAACCGGAACCCTTCTGCTGCAGAGGGGCAGCCACAGTCCCCTCGCTCTGGGCCATGCCTGCCTCAGGCCTCTTCCCTGCGAGTGGCTGTTCCTTGGGCTCTGCGAATTTGCTGGGCCCCAGCCCTCAGCCAGACCCTCAGTTCTTCCCGTGCCCCCCAGACGTACCCTCTCCCCTTCACCTGCTGCCCTTGGAAGGTCCATCATGGTTTCCCTACCTTCCCCCCCACCCCCTCCCCCAAGCCTGGCAGTGATGTGAGCGGCCCGAGCCCAGCCGGCCCCTCGTAACATAGGGGCACGGTGGGGCCCGGTCCTCACGGGGAGTGAGGCCTGCTAGGGGAGGGCCTGTGGCTGACAGGCCAGAGGCTGCCCAGGCCTGACCCGCCCAGCTCCTCCCCTAGGCACCCCAGCCAGCCAGACCTTGGGGCTCCAGCAGCACCGCCTGGACCTGTGGAGAGAGAGGACGTTGGTCAGGGCAGGCTCGGTAGCCCAGGGAGACCCACCGGCCCAATGGCCACTCTTACCGGCCGTCGAAGCCGCACCATGGAGCCGACCTGGGGCACAGAGCAGAGGAGAGCCGCGAGAGCCAGCACGGGGTGGGCAGCCATGCCGCCTGAGGGTGCAGACCCGGTGGTGGGGAGCCCGGCCTGTGGCCCAACCAGCCTCCCTGGGTGCTCACTGTGGTCTTTCTGGGCAGATCTGTGCCACCGGTCCCTGGCACCTTTTGTTGAAGTGCTAGGCTCGCCCCGCCTCCCCTCCTCCCCTGTGCCCGGGGGTGGGGGGGGGGCGGGGAGCCTGAGGGTGTGGACCAGGGAGGGGAGGGCAGGGACGGCTGACTGTCCCCGAGCATACTTCCCCTTGGCTGCTGTCCTCCCTGGGCCAGGGTCCACGCGCGGGATGGGCAGGGGCCTGGGGCCTCTTATCTCCTGCTGAGAGGCAGGTGGTGGTGGCAGGAGGTCCTCCGGGCCACCAGCACGCTGCCACGCCGCCTAGGCCGGGCACCCCTGCGGCCACCCATCACCTCCTCCCTATCACTCGTGCCCATTTCTACACAGTTCACAAAACAGGAGCTTCCAAAATTAGACTTTATTTCCATTTCTCAGCACGAGTACACGTACGACAGGAAAACACGGTGCAGCCCCGTTCACGGCCGTGGGTCTCACCTGGTTGTCAGACACCGAGTCAATATAAACACAAGCGTGGCCCTGGGGCCCAGGCTGCACAGGGGCCACGTCACAGACGCACACGGGAGCGACGTGCAGGGCGGGGCCTGGGGTGGGAGCCCCGCGGGGGTCGGCGCGCCCTCGCGTCCCCGTCTGTCCCGCCCCACAGCGGACACGCGTCCTCCGTCCGCCGAGGCTGGGGCGGCCCGGTGGACGCACAGGCGGCAGGCTCCCTCCTCCGTGGCCCGGGGAAGGCTCCGCCCGGGAGCCGTGGGCCCGGCGCCCCACTGGGGAGGCCGGCCTTTCCCACGGGCTCCCCCCCCGGATCATGGTCCCCCAACACAGACGTTCTCCTTGACCCAACCAGGTTTAAGGCTAGTATTTTCTGACATTTACTTCAGTTTTTCTCTTTAAGTTAAAATTACCTGAGTAAAAAAATTTCAGACATTTTTAAAAGCCAAAACCACACATGGTCCACAGGCGGAGCCAGTGCTGGCGCACACCCGCCGCCACCAAGCTCAGCCAAGCTGCCCAGCCGGGAGGGACGCTCCCAGGCGCCATGACAGGGCTGTGTGGGCGGCCTGGCCCTTCCCAAACATGCCGGCCAGGAGCCCGAGGGCCCAGAACCCACTGGGACTCGCTCCGGCCAGCGAGCGAGAAGGCACAGTGAGGTAGGGGATGGCTGGCCGAGCCCACCACACCCCTCCACCTGGGGGTGGGGGTGGGGCAGTGTGCACCTTTGGCCCCAACCCCCACCAGCACGTCCTGATGCCCGTGAACCCCGTGAACCCCATGAGTGGTCCCTGCAGGGTCGGGGAAGAGGGTGGGGAGGGGGCTGCTGGGAAGCCTGAGCTCAGAGCAGTTAAATAATCCTTTATTTGGGCGGGTTGGGGGAGGGGAGGTGTGGCCGGGCCTGGACCCCCACGGGGGGTGGCACCCAACAGCTCCTCAGGGGGCCGGCCCCAGCGCCCCTCAGCGGCTACCCGGGAGCAGTCACAAGCTGGTCCTTCCTATTTGCGTGGCCGGGCGGTGGACACTCTCTGCAGACAGTACTGAGCGACGGGCAGCGACAGGACCAGGCTGGTGGCGCGGCGCCCCATCCAGTAAAGGCCGTAGCCCAGCAGGCCCAAGAAGGCGGCCTTCACGGCCAGCCGGGACACTCTGCCGGAGATGGACGGCGGGGGGACGCTGGGGAAGGGAGGGCGGGCTGGGCCTGGCTGGGGGGGGCGCACGCCGCCCCAGCCCCCAGCCCAGGCTCTGTGCTCAGGGACCGCCGGGCGCGGGCGGGCGGCACTCACGTCATGATCTCCTGGATGTTGAGGTCGGTGGTCCAGTTCTTCTCGATGCCCGGCACGTGGCCCATGCCCACGACACCCACCACCACCGAGGGCACACACTTCCTGGGCTCAGCTGTGGGGGAAGCGACGCGTCAGCACCCGCCTGGCGGGGCCGGTGCCCGGGGAGCCCCCGCCCGGGGCCGCCGGCGCCGTCACCGTCAGAGGAGCGCGGCAGCTCGAGGCGCCGGGCGGCCTGGCGCAGCATGTAGGTCAGGTAGACGTCGCGCTCAGAGACGATGGTGCGGTGCAGGTCGGGGAACGCGCCCACCATCTCGGCCATCATCTGCTCCAGCAGGTCCTTCTGCTTGCAGCGCTCCACGTCGTCCTTGCTGGGGGCAGAGGGCACGCTGCCAGCCTCGCGGGCACGGGGCGGCCAGCTGGAGGCTGGTGCTGTTGACCCAGGGCAGGGACCTCGGTACCCTCTTTGTTTGGGATCACGGCGGAAGGAAGGGGTGGGAAGGCCCTGTTTGAGGAGGCTCAGCCCCAGGACAAGGGGGAACGTGCCACGTGGCGGGGCCGGGCCCCGCTTCCTGGGTGGGGTTGCCCGTGGGAGGCTGAGGGGCCCTACCTGATGGGGTCTGACAGAAAGCACAGGCCCCAGGCCAGCTTGACCTTCTGCCAGAAGGAGAGCGCAGCGATGGCCCTCTTGAAGGTGACGGGGATAGGCCGGTCGCCCAAGTGGAATTTGCAGAAAGGCACCTTGCTGGCCTGGGGCAGGGGCTGGGTGTTGGTTGGGGAAGCCTGAGCTCCGGGGCGGCTCCCGTGCGCTGAGCCCCCTTCCCGGCCGGACCCGGGCCCACCTCCTTGAAGGCCTCTCGGAACTCGCCACCAGGGGCCATGCCCAGCTGCTCAGTGATGTGGGCGGACACCTTCAGCAGCAGCATCTGCATGAGTCCGGACATGACCCCGTTCTGCCGTGGGGGGGGGGGGGCGAGGGTCAGCGGCCGCTGGGTGCAGAGCACAGGCTCCAGCCTGAGCACAGACCTGGCCTAGGCCGGGAGGCTGCGCGAGGGCCTTGGGCAGGCGGCCACCCCCGCGGCAGACACTGAGGCCCCATTTCCCTCCAGCGCCCCCAGCCCACACCTCAACTCCTTCGTCCATGTCCCCGAGGGGCGCACGGCGGCGTGAAGGAACGCGCAGAAGACGTAGTGGGGGGCACCGCCTGGGCCGGCTGGTAGGCGGGGCCGCACTCCTGACCGCCCCCCCCCCCCAGGACCCGCCCAGCAAACCCCCGGGTCCCTGTCCGGCCCTTGCCTTGGTGCTGAACCATCACCCGCCTGTTCTTCCTTGTCCAAACCCAGTAAAGGGGTGCCCCTCTCCCGCCACGGGCCGGGCGCCACCCCGCTGCCCGGAAGGTCGCCCGCCCAGCGCCGCACCTGCCTCACGGCCTGCTGCAGCTTCTCCAGGCTGATCTCCTTGGCCTCCTGGAGCAGCGTGGTCTCGTCCATCTTCAGCATGGACACGCGGTACTGACACAGCTCCACCACCACCACGTCGGGCTGCACCTCCCGGATGGTCTGCAACGGACCTACGGGCCGGCTCAGCCCCGGGGCCCTGCTCCCGGCCCCGGCCCCACCGGCGGAGGCCACTCCGGAACCGCCCGGGAGGCCCGTCCCCAGGGGCTGCCTCGGCTGCGGTGGCCACAACTCATTTCCCGAAGCAACGGAGAAGCTACAAAACAGGTGTGCTTGTCGCTAAGTAGAAAAGTGCCGAGGCCGCGAGGCCTCCCTCCTTTCTGAGGGGCGCCGGCGTCGTGGAGGATGAGGCGGTGGCTCACGGGAAGGGGACGCTCGGCCCGAGGCCGGCCCAGCGTGATGGTCCTCACCTTCACGACGTCCTTCTTGCTGTCGTCGCTGAAGTGGGCTGTGCCCACCACGTACACCCTGCTCCCGTCCTCGGCCACCAGCTCCGTCACGGTGCGCGGCAGGCTGGGCCGTTCTCGCCGCCGCCTCAGCTTCATCTCCAGGAGCAGGGACAGAGCGTCGGCGTCGGCTGTAAGGACAGCGGGCCGGCTGGGGTGCCGTGCGCACCGGGGCCCACGTTCCCGAGAAGCTCTGTCCACGGCCCCGCCCCCACCGGCCTCGCCGGGCCTCGGCCCACCCTTAGCACTGCGGCCCCGCTCACTACAGTGTGCACGACAGGGCACGGCGCCGTCGGACCAGACCTTCCCTGTGAAAAGGGGCCTGGGCCTTGGCGAGGGCTGCTGCCTCCACGATGGGAATCACCCAGTCATCGAGGGAGCCAAGATGGGGGTGACTGTGACTGTGTAGAGCCGAGGCCCCCAGGGCAGCTCTGAAGCACTTAGTCTCCCACCCCAACCACCTGGGGCTGGCCGGGGTCCCCGTTCACCACAAACTCAGCCCAAGCCCCTCCTCGCCAGGGAGCTACCCACTCCCCCCAAGCCCCCAGCCCCGAATGGTGTCAGGGAGCACGTACACAGGTTCTGGGGTTCTCCGGAAAGCACCCTGGGCACCACCTCGGAAGACCCCACTGGGACAACGGGCTCCACGTCAGCCTGCAGAGGGAACAGGGAGGTCTGAGTCAGGGCACTGCCCTCCCTGAAGGCTGCGGGACGTACGGCACCCACCTGTCCCCGGCGGGCCCACCGAGGACTCACGAGCTGCTGCATGAACTCTGCGTGTTCCCCAGGATGAAATCTCGGTGACCATCCCCTTGGACACAGCCCACCCCCAGGGCTCCCTGCCGAAGGGTCCCCCTCGGCTGACCTAGAACTTGCCCCGAAAACCACATAAAGCTCTTCTATGCATAAAAGCAGCCAGGGTGACCCCAGGCGGCCACACTGGGGGGGATTCCACACTCTGCTGAGCAGCTGGCTGGACGCTAAGCCCGAGGTTGTTCAGGAAACAGGCTCCCTACCCCCCCCCCCCCAATCTGGCCCAGGCTCTGACCTCCTGAGGTGGCTGCTCCTCCTCCCCCTCCATGGCGGGCGGCAGCTCCTGGCACTGACGAGTGACGCCTGAGGAGACACGGGAGGCACGTTCTCACCTGGAGCCCAGGGCTGCGCACAGGGCTCAGGGCACCATGGGGCTGGTCTGATTTGAAAGATCCGTATGTGGGATCACCGCCTCTGCCCTTCCAGATAGAGTGACACCTGTCAGTCGCCAGCTACGAAGTCCAGGTGCCCAGGTACGGCAGGGGTGAGACTCTGGCTGCGAGCAAGCGAGCGAGCGGCATGCAAACCCCATACCATGCCGCTAAGAACAGAGCCGGAGACGCCTGGCTTTGCCCCAACCGGTGAACTGAGGGTCCTCTGCCGAGCAGGACCCGTCCCCCCCACCTCCCATTTGCCCCACAGAGAGCAAGGCACTGGAGCTCAGGGTCCAGCCCCGAGGGGCAGCCAGGCCTGCCGGGACGATCCCTTTCTGACTCTGGACACTGCGCCCAACTCCCTCAAGTGAGAAAAGCAGGCAGAGGACGTGAACCAGGGTGCGGAGATGGTGCTGAACGCCCCGAGCGGAGTCACCCAGGCTGCTGTGGAGCCTGGACTCAGCGCGACGCCTGCTGCCCCGTCGGGAGTCACGGCGTCAGGGTCAGCAACGCGGAAGCGGGAAGGAGCACAGAACACGCCGAGATTTTTCCTTCTGGCGTGAGAGAAAGGGGCGTGGAGACACCAAGGCTCTGGGGCTGCCCCCCCACCCCGGGAGCCGGGAGCTCAGGGGACAGTCACGCGGGTACCGTGGGCGCGCCTCCTGGAAAAGTCTTTGTCCCCAGGGAAGGCAACTCCCAAGGCCGGCGGACCACCGGACCTCCGGGGCCAAGGGGAGTGAGGGTCGGAGGCCTGTGCCGGCACGTGTGCTCCGGGACACCGGGTGTGAGACGGCAGCATCGCCAGCGTGGTGTCCCCGTGTCTCCCTGAGACACCATGGAAAACTCAAGCTGGGGTCTCCTGCAGCCTCCGGGGCCACCTCCGAGTGCAGAGGGGCCCCTGGGTGCCAGCGGAGGGAAAGGCCCTGCTCCAGGGGGCGCTGGGCGCCCAGGCCCCTGGAGGAGTCTGACCGTGAGGGCAGGGGGCCACCCGACCTGCCTGAGGCTATGCCGAGGGTCCCACTGGGTGTGTGTCAGATGTGCCTCGGGGGCCGTGCTGGGGAACAGGGTGCGGCCACCCTGGAGCGCCACAGACCCAGGCCTCACCCGCTTCCCTGTTGCCCTGCACTTCTCTCAAACTTTCACGACAAGAAGGAAGCGCAAGTGATAAGGTCAGGGAGACGCTGCCCCAGGTTCCTCTCCCTCTGAGCCCTGTGGTCACACAGCAGCAGGGAGCAGACAGGGCTCACCGCGGCCCCTGGTGCAGGCAGCTCAGGGCAGGGCAGGGCTCCCCCCAGTGTAACCAACACCCCCACATGCCCTGGGGCTGACCAAGGTCGGGGGGCCCTCCTGAGGATGGCCCGGTTTCTGGAAGAGGAACTGGCTTAGGGCCAGAAGACACAGCTGGGACCCACGGCGGGGAGGGTGGCCAGCAGGGAGGGGGGCTGGGGAGGGGAGGAGGGCCTGGCCTCCTAAGCTCCTAAGCACCCCTCCCCCAGTACCTCCGGTCCAGGATCCCCAAGCCCCTCTTCCTGCTTCACAGATGAGAGCTCTCTGCCAGTGTAAGGTGCCAACCGAAATGCAAACAGGAAGCGGCGCCTGGAGTCAGAGGGGTGGGGCTGAGCGGTCACTGGAGCTCCCAGCACCACCCCCCCCAACCCCCCCGGCTCCAGGGCCGGCCCAGAAGGGTAGCCAGAGACGATGGCCCTTCGTCAGGCTCCACGCAAAAAAGCAAACAGTTCTTACTTGCAAGCAGCACACGGCTGCCAAGGTGTTAGAAAAACTTCTCAAGAAAACAGCCTGTGCCCTGGCAGGAAGACTCCCATAGGAACCCGCAAGCGGGAGGTCGCCCCAGAGGTCACCGTGGTGCCTCGGCCTGGCCCTCCTCCCTCTTCCCTCTGATGGCGTGGTGGCTTCAGGTCTAGGGAGCGTCCTCCCTCCCTCCCTCCCCCACCCCACGGCCATCTGGCCAGACCCACCCTCTGTGCCCACAGGGGACAGGCGGGCCCCACTGTGTGGGGGCCAGAGGCACCTTTCGGGGGAAGCTCCCGTCCTGCGTCCTATAGGCTGGGGACGTGGGAGTGGCAGACAAGCCTCGGTTCCGCAGAACCCGGTCCCCTCCTGCACTGCTCCCCAGAGCTGGGTGCCTGGCCTAGTCAGGCAGGTAGGCCACTGAGCCTCCTTCAACACCAAGAGTCCAACATTCTGAGACGTCTCTTGGTCTCTGATGCTGCCGCATCCACACACCGTCCAATATCCTGGTTTCCCTCAACTGTGGAGGTGGGGTCCCCTGGCAATACCCTTGTAGGATGTCACTTCCTTGGGTTGTTAACCGCCCCTACCCCCCACGCAGTTTCAAACACGGCTGGGCCCTGAGCCTCTCCCAGCTGCCAGGGGGGAAGCTAAGTGCCACCCGCCTCCCAGACCTCTGGGCCCCCGCCTCCATCTCCCTGCACCCGCAGGTAGAGGCCGTGGGGCATCCACGTTCCTCCTGGCTTCCTGCCACACGCTGTCTGGGTCTACAGGTGCTAGCAGCTCCCTCCACCACCGCGTGCGCAGCACAGTGAGCAGGAGACCCCCTCCAGGGACATAACCGTGCCCCCTCCCATACCATGCTCCAGCATGTGGCCCTGCTACCTGGCCAGGCCACAGCCACCGATGCTGGGAGCCCGTGAACCTGACACAAAGCAGGAAGAGCCTTCGGCCAGATCCAGCCACTCCTTGCTCCCTCCAACCTGCTGTGGCTGCCAAGCAGGACTGTCCACGGAGGTGACCTGTGGCCAGATGCCAGCAGCCGTGCTGCAGGGGACGGCCCGCTGGGCCCGACTTCAGGCCAGCGAGACCAGTGCCTTGGTGCGGCAAGGCCCTGGGCAGGACCCTTCAACCCCCTGGGCTCAGCTCCTGCCTCGAGGATTGGGGTGGTCAGAGTGGTCACCCAGCCGTCCCACCCGTCTGCACACACTAGGCCCCCTCCTGGCGGCAAGTCCTGGACCACACTCGGACTTCGCTTAGGCCCATGACTTCCAGACCTCCGTGGACTTACTCCTGTCGGGGCAGGAAAAGAGCCAGCAGTCTGGTTTCAGAAGACCCTGAAACACAAGTCCTCCTGGGCAGTCTCCTGATCAGCAGAGGACACGCCGCTATCTGGCGCTGGAAATTATCATCCTGCTTGCGGAGGACAGCAGCAGAATCACCCGCACGCTTCCAGAAGACACACTCCCAAATAGTGGGAATTCCCAACAGCTCTGGGACCCATCGTGTCCAGGACTCCAGCAAAGGGCCCGCTCAAAGGACGGGAAAAGCTCTGCCTCCATTGGGAGGCAGCCCGAGCTGTGGGCCCTGAGACACATCAGAGTGGCGGGTTCAGCGGTTCTGCACTGATGAAGTTATCAGCATCGGAAACTGTCCTGCTGGGTGTGAGTTTCAGGACTGAACCTGAGGACATCAGACAGCTCAGCGTGAGTGACGGGCCAGAGGTTCCTGCCTGCCCGGCCCAGGCAGCCGACCTTCTCCTGGGTGCCACTGCTGTGCACTGAACTGTGTCCCCTGAAGTTCAGTACTGAATCACTAACCCCCTGGGTGATGGTGTTTGGAGGTGGGATCTTTGGGAGGTGACTAAGGTTACATGAAGTCACGAGGGTGGGGCTCCATGATGGTTCTGGGGCCCTTATGAGAAGAGACAGCAGGAAGCTGGCCATGTGAGCACACAGGGAGAGGAAAGCCGTCCTCAAGCCAGAACGAAAAAGCCCTCAGCAGCAGCCAGATGGGCTGGCACCTTGATCTTGACTTCCATCCTCCAGAGCTGTGAGAAAACAGTCTGCTATTTAAGCCCCATCTCTGCTGTTCTGTTACGGCTGCAGAGCAGACTGAGACACCATCGCCGCCCCCTCCCCGCTCTAAAAATCGGGAAGCGGCAAACTGCCTCCTGGATCCCAGCCCGCTTCTCGGTGTGGCCAGGGGGCTGACCAGCACCAGACAGAGTTCCCAGAAGGCCGCATCTCTGAACCAGCCCACCAGGCTTGTTCAGGAGGCCAGAGATCCCAAACTGGACAGACCAGTGAGCTGTAGAAACAAATGTGTCCCAACTGGGACACAGCAGGACGTGGTGAAAGCCCTGACCTTCCCAACGCCCCCACTTCTTAAGCCTGGGCACCCTTGGCCACTGGACACTCCCTGGGTCTGGCAGCACTTGCTTCACGGAAGTGTGGCAAAGTTTGGGATTGGGGTAGAGGCCACAGGCCAGCTTGCACTGGCTGGCTCTGCTGGAGCCTGCACACTGCCCACCCGTGGATCCCCACCCTGACCACCGCTGCAGGGTGCTGCGGGGGGCGCACCACCAGCCTGCGAGCCTGCCCGGCGGTCCCAGGGTCCAGGCTACCTTCCAGTCACACTGCAAGGGGGCAAGCAGGAGAGCAAAGGGGACAAAGAGACCCGCGGAGAGCGGGGGCTGGCGGCCTGCCCATCTGCCTCTCCAGGGAACCCCAAAGCCGGTAGGTTTCCACCTGGAAACCACCCATTCTCCTAACGAGGCTGTGCTGATCTCCAAAGGTGGCGAGGACTTCCGAGCGGACTTCCTGGCTGTTTCTGAGATGCGAAGCCAAGGCAGCCTTGCCTGTGCTGGGACAGTTTTACTGAGACTCTCCTGCGGGGTACTTCGTGGCACCTAAGTTACAGCCCAGTGCAGCCGCTTCACAGAGACACAGTGCAGACTGCTGCAGGCCCGCGGAGCTCGGCCGCGCCGTCCACCCCGCCATATGGCAGCCCCGCTCGCTCAGCCTGACGGGCAGAGGCCACCGGCCCTCGGGAAGGGCCCGGGGTCTCCGCCGGCAGAGGTGCGGACCCCGCTTCTCGCCGCGGCCCCCGGGCTGGGAGCCCCACCCGAGCCCGCAAGCCCGCTCCGCCCGCCCCCTGTCCCCGCGAGCCCCGGCCGCTGGCCCGGCCCCGCGCGCCCTCCTCACGGGCCCGAGCTGACCCTTCCGGCCCCAGGCTCCACGCGGGGGGCTGACTGGGCCCGGCCCAGAGCGAGATGGCCCCCGGCCCGGCCCCGGCCCGTCAGCAGGGACCCCCGCCGCACAGCGTACCGAGGCGGGGCGGCGCTCCTCAGCCGGCCTCCATGCGGCTCGTCGCCCCACCGGACGGGGCGGACCGGGGCCGGGACCGGGGGCGGGGCGGCCGGACGGGCCGGGGCCGGGGGCGGGCGGCGCTCGGCATGCCGGGAAGCGCAGTTCCACACGCCGCCCGTCCGCTCCGTCGGCGCGCCCGGTCGCCGCCGGCGGACTACACTTCCCAGGGGTCCGTGCGCGGGCACCCGAGGACTACACTTCCCAGGGGGCTGCGCGCGAGGGCCGGCGGACTACACTTCCTAGGGGGCCGCGCGCCCGAAGCCCCGCCCCGCCCCGCCCCGCCCCCGGCGCCTCCGGTTCCAGGAGGAAGGAGGTGACTGTGGAGCCGTGAGTTCGAGTCCCCGGGCTTGCGGCTAATCCCGGCGGCCTTGAGAAGCACTCTTCAGTTCTCTGACTGCAGCTCCCAGTCTGGAAAAGGGATGATGTTTCCACGATGTCTGCGGAGCGGCTTGCAGCCCATAGTGAGATGCAAGCAGCAGAAAACCCTGGTTGTGGAGCGAGCCCGCGTGGCTCGTCCTCAGATGGGGGTGCCCAGACTCCCGCCCGCAGGCGACCCGGCCATCCCTCGACTTGGTGGGCGGGGTCCCCTGGGAGGGCAGGACCGACCAGGCTGAGACCTGGACCTCAGACCGCGACGGTCTGTATGGGGAGGGGGTGTCTCAGGCTGGAGCCCCGTCCCTCTGCCAGCGGAGGGGCCCCTTGTCTCCATGCGGCCAAGTGGGCGGTGAGGCGTGGGAGGGGGCTCCCAATGCCCACGGCCACCCGCAGGGGGCCTCCTGAGCCCGCTCTCCCTCTTCCCCGCCTGCGAGTGCTCCCGACCCCTCCCTCCGAGCGCTGAGCCCCGGAGTGGCTGCGGGCGGGGGCTGTGGGGGCCCGGGAGCTGCTGGCCCCCCGCGCCCTCTGTCCTCTGTCCTTGCACCGGGGCTGTGGGGCTGGGCCCTTGCAGGTGGTGGATGTGGAGGTGCCTTGCCTGCTGGCCACATGTGGACGCCATCCTGTCCCCATCCTGTCCCCCCACCTGCAGCCAGCTCCCCTGAGCTTGCGCCCACATCCTAGACCTGTCCCCGCCCCCCCCCCCCCCCCCAGGCCAGGTCGCCAGTCCCCACAGGAAGCTGGTGAATGGCTGGGAGGGATGCCCTTAGGAAAAGAAAGAGGGAGGCGGGTCTGTACTTCAGGGCCCCTGGGACAGGCTTCTCTCTGGGGCCACTGGCTGGCGTGGGGGGCCTCAGTAGTGACTGGCTGGAGCAGGCTGTCCTGCCCCCAGCCTGGAGCCGCCCGGGAGCGAGGGGACAGTCCAGTCCAGACGGGGCGCCGGGCTTCCTCAGGTCCCGGGAAGGGAGGCCGTGGCCACAGCCCCAGGCTTCTGAGAGGCACCGGTGACTTGTAGGGGTCACAGGTTCTCACGTTCCAGCTGATGTGGGAGACAGTCCCCCGGCCACTCTTGGTGTCTGGTGGGGGCGCTGTTTGCGGCCGAGCTCTGTCCACAGGAGACTGCGTGTGGGGCCTCCAGGCCGACACACATGCTGCCCGCCCCCCTCCCGCAGCTTCCTGGTCCCCACAGGGCCTCCGGGCCTCGGGGGGCATGGTCGTGTCTGCCCCCCCGACCCCTCGGCCACCTTCACACAGGGGAGCAGCAGGGTTTTGTCAGGCAGCACAGTGGGGCCCGCACTGCGGGCTGGGGGCACTTTCCCGGGGCCCGGGGTGCGTCTGCTTGAGACGCCCCCGCGGTGCTGGCATGGCCGGCCTGGGCCGTGTGGGACCGAGTGCTAGGGCCTCCCTGAGGCTCCTCCTCTGAGCCGGGACCGTTGCCCACACCTGCCGCAGTGCCCCGGTCGGAGGGAAGGAGCGGGCAGGTGGCGCCCCCACCCTCAGGGGGCCAGCTGGCGTCGCCCGGCACCTGCGCGAAGAGGTTTGCCTCTATGGGATGCCGCCATGGGCTCTCCTCTTCCCCAGCAAACCGGGGCGGGGGCTCAGTCACGCTCCAGGGACAGACCTCCGGATAGGCTGGGTCTGAAGTGTCCTGCCTGGGCTTGGCCCAGGGGACAGGTGGCCGGCAGCCTGGCAGAGCAGTCTCACCAGAGACGTGGGGGCGGCTCCGCCGGACAGGGGTGGGGGGTGGGGGGCTCCCCGCAGGTGTGCCCTAGCCTTGCCTGGGCCTGCGCGTGTGTGGATGTCCCTCACCTGGCGGTACTCGTGCTCGTGAGTGTGCGTGAGGCGGGCTCGCTGCACCGCGGCAGGGCTCTGGGGCCGCGTCCCCTCTGAGCAGAGCCACCGGGACAGGCGTGGGCTGGGCCCAGCTGCACTGTGTGGACGGGTGGGGAGGCGAGTGTGGCCTGGGGGGGCGGGGGCTGGGGAGGCTGGGCCGGACTCCAGCTCCACTCACAGAATGGCAGGGAGGCCGGGGCAAGGGCGGCTGCTTGAGGCCAGTGTGACTTGAGTGCCCCGGGTGGACACAGCCACCCTGCCCGCAGGGTCGTCGCGGGGCCGGCATGATGTGGGGCCAGGGGCTTGTCCCGCCCTGCACGACTGGCTGGGCCGCTCAGGGCCTGTGGGCACACAGGGTCCCTCCCCTGGACCCGTGGAAACAGTGAGTGCCAACCCGAGGGGGGGTGGGCTTCGCGGCCTGCGCGGAGGAGTGTCCTGGCTCAGGTGGGGGCGTGCTCCCTGGCGACAGGGTGTGTTAATGATGCCTTTTCACTGTCTCATGTTCTGATATTGGGCCATGCTGCCTCCTCCCAGAGACAACAGACTCCCTGGTGCAAACCGGCCGATCCAGAGCCCCGGCCCAGCACCCCTCTGAGGGGCTCCCACACTCGGGGCCTCCCTCACCTGCCCCCACCCCCCAGGCAGGTGCCCCACACCCCTGAGGAGCCTCAGGGCCCACGGACGGACGGGATCCACGCCAGCCAGTCCGGAGCCCACTCACCTGCCTCACCCCCAGGAAAAGCTCCCTCTCTCTGCCCCGTCTGCCTCCTGACTGCCTGCTGCTTCCCCCTGCGGCCCCCAGCCCGCGCGGCCGCCCCCTCCCCTGGGGACCTGTGAGTGACCAGCTGTCTTTCTGACAGCAGTTGTCCCCTGATCTGTCGGCCTCTCCAGACCGGAGTGGTGGTAAAACTTACGTTTAAAATCAATGGAGGGTTGCAGTCCTTTGCCTGTGCTGGAGGATCACCCAGCTCCGGGGAAGGTCAGGCCGCCCCAGGGAGAGGCCTGCAGAGGGCGCCGGGGGGCCAGGCCAGTCAGGCCTCTGTGGCACAGCAGGCGGGCCCACTCTGATCTCAGCCAGGCCTGACCGTTCGAGACCAGCACCCGCCCGCCCTGGCGCCCACAGGTAGCTGTGCTGGCTGCCCCAGCTACCTGCCTCCAAGGAGCCCGTCGAGGTTCTCCGGGTCATCAGCCATGGACCTAGGGCATGCGGCTCCATGCCGGACCCATGGGACTGCCCCCAGCCCCACCTGAGTCCTGGGCCCCGTGGTGTCATGCGCACCCCCAGGACACATCAAGGGGGCCTCTTCTGGCAAACCCTCTCAGCTCTCCCTGCTCCCCTGAGTGTAGCCTGCAGGCCCCCGCCCCCAGCATCTGATGGAGGGCACAGCTTCCTGAGGGGCGGGGCTCGCCTGAGTCACCCCATGGCACAGAGTGCGTGCGAGTTAGAGGCCATGACCTGTCAACCACAAGTGATAAACGCTTGAGCTTGGGTGCAGCAGAGCCCCCAAGGTGACCTCCCACGGCCCTGCCGTTCCCCAGTGCCCCCTGGTGACAGTGGTGAGCGGAGGTGCCCAGATGTAGGGAGCTCAGAGCACAGGCTTCCTGCAGACGGACCACATGGGACTCAGGCAGTATCAGAATAATATTTATTGATATGCTCGGTGCTACCTTGTTAATACTGTCACGTTGTCACCGTGGCTGAGGTAATAGGGACAGACCCCCCCAAGCGCCAGCCCTGGGCGCCCACGGGAAGTGGCGTGGGCCCTCGGGTGGGGGGCTGGTGGACTGGGTGGGGGGACGTGGTTATTGCGTTGGACTCCTTCCCTTGCACGCTGGCGTCACACCATCTCAGCCCCGTGCCCAGTCACACACCCGTGCTTACACACCGGCGCCCGCCCGCCCACGCCCACTCACGCACACATCCACTTGCACACCGGCACCCTCGCCCTCTCGCTCACGCACACGCCGTCCTGTCTCCTGATAACACGTACACTCGATAGTTACAGTAATCATAGTAAAATAAAGTACAGGTATGTCGGGTACAAGGAGAAAGTGCATATGTTGATCTGATGGAGGGTGGACCCTGGCACCTCCCGCCCCGGGGCTCCTGGTCCCTGCAGCGGGGAGCCCTGAGCATGGCCCCTCGGTGCGGCCACCCCCAGCTTCCTTCCAGGCTCAGGGCCAGAGGTGTCCTGCCACAGCCTGGCCCCTCAGGGCCAACGTCCTGGACCCAAGACAGAATGGACTAAAAAAATACACTCTTCAATCTCACAGCTGAGTGCCTGCTGCAGGGGGAGGGGAGGAGAGGGGGGAGAGGGGGAGAGGGGGAGAGGAGGGGAGGAGGGGAGGAGGGCGGGGGGGAAGGCTCCAGGCCTTTCTGGCTGGGGGCTCCGCTGGGGTCGAGGCCAGCCCCTGGCCCAGCCGGCACCCCGGTGATGCTGTCTTGGGGGCTGGGTGGGCAAGGTGCTCGGCCCCATGGCATGCGGACAGGAGGCCAGGAGGTGCGGGCGGCGCTGGGCAAAGCAGAGGCCACGTCCACGCGGGGCTGCGGTCAGCGGCTCTGCTGGGGCATGCGGAGGGTCCGTGGCGGCCAGGCAGCCCTGCCCCTCAGAACTCCACAGTGCTCACTACTGTCCTCGGCTCGTCGAAGGTGGCGATGAGCATCTGCTGGGGCGGGGGGATAGCGATGAGGCTGCCCACGTCCGGGGGAGCCCGGGGGCCCCCGTCCTCCTCCTCCCGGGCTTCGTACAGTGTGCTGATGTGCAGCAGCGGGTGCGTGGCGTTGCGGCTCAGGATAGCCAGGGGGTCAGGCTTGCCCAGGCTGGCTGGCGACAGAGGGGCCGTGGCGGGGGCCGCGGGGGGCGAGCAGACGTGAAACGGGCCCCCGGGAGGAAGCGAGGCCCGGGCTGGCTCTGCTGGGTACAGGATTTCCTTCTCGGGCAGCGGAGCATCTGCGAACAGCCAGGAACACAGGCGCGTCACACCCTCAGGCCGCCCGTCTCTCCGCCGACAGACCCGCCGGGGCAGCCTGACCGCCGCGGGGCCGGCTGCGCTGTGAGGCCCCCGCGCGCCCTTTGAGGGCTTGATTCGTCCTCTTTCGGCCTCAGCCAGCCAGGCGGGGCGGCCAGGACCCTCTGCAAGCCCCGACCTGCGTGGGCGGAATCTCCCGCCTCAGCAGCAGCAGAGCCCGTTTCCAGAACCTTCTCTAGAGCCTGGGCAGCCCTACCGTCAGATCCTCTTGGGCTCTGCTATCTGCTTCACCGGCGCTGCGGGGCCCGCCGGCTGCCCGCCCGCTTCCCGCACCCACGGCTCCGGCCCTGAGCCCCTGTCCCCGGGCTGCGGGGGGCCCGGGGGGCCCGGGGGGCCCCGGCTGCCTACCTTTGGTGGGTGCTGCGGCCAGGCCGAGGGGGCACTCCTCCGCCTGGGACAGGAAGCCCCCCTCCTGGCTCCGGGAGGCAGGCAGGGCCGCGGCGGGCACGGCCTCGGGCTTGGCCTTCTTGGTGCCCAGGATGTAGGGGTGCACGTCCAGCGAGAAGTGGCGCGCGTGCTTCTTGTCGGGGGCGGGCCCCGCGTCGCCGCCGCCGCCCTTGTAGTGGTGCGCGGCGCGCGCGCCCGCGTCCAGCAGCGGCGCGATCAGCGTGTCGGTGGCCGTCTTGCGGCGCACGGGCTTGGGCTTGTCGGCCTTGCTGTTCTCCAGGCGCATGATGGCCAGCGGCTCCTTGAAGGGCTGCGGCAGCGGGTTGCCGCCCGGCATCCACTTCATCTTGCGGCGCGGCCGCTTGACGACGGGCGGCGCGGCGGGCTCGGCGGGCTCGGCGCCGGGGTCCGCGGTCTGCACGCCCGCGTGGCGCACGGTGGGCGTCGCGTCGTGGTTGGACTGCGCCAGCGCCGCCAGCAGCTGCCGCACCACGTTGTCGTACATGAGGTCGCTCTCGTTGGTGATGAAGTCCAGCCGGTTGAGCGACTTGATGTGGTCGCGGTTCTCGTCGCAGAACATGGCCAGGATGTTGATGTCGCAGAACTGCGAGCGGCGCCACTGCCGGCGCGTCTTGATGCCCACCTTGTGCAGCTTGTCGAAGATGAAGTTGCTCTTGCGGAAGATGAACAGGTGGGTGAGGTTGACGAGGATGACCAGGTTCATGGCGCACAGCAGCGCGATGTCCACGCCCGCCACGATGCGCTGCAGCTGCACGGACGGCAGCTTGCAGCTGACGCGCACGGCCGCGGCGCCCGCCGGCCCGCCCGGGGCCGCGCCCAGCGCGCACGTGAACTCGTTCTGCTTCTGCGTGGCGTAGTAGGTGCACAGGTAGGCGATGGGCGCGGCGCTGAGCAGCAGGATCAGCAGGTGCCGCGCCAGGTACAGCTTGGCCAGGAAGTTGCTGCGGCCGCGGCGCTCCAGGTATTTCTCGAACAGGTTCTGCTCGGGGCTCTTCTCCTTCTCCGCGTTCTCGATGATCTCCCGCCGCTCGCGCTCCGTGATGCCGGGCCCCTTGGACTGGATCTGCTTCTCGATCTTGGGGGCGCGGCCCTCGGCGGCGCGGTGGTAGCAGTTGTCGATCTCCTGCAGCAGGAAGTTGAGCTCGGAGGTGAGGCGGGTGGAGGCCAGGAACTCCCAGCCCAGCGCGGGCACGTACATGATGGCGGCGAAGGCCAGCAGCGAGTAGGGCAGCAGCTTGTGCTCAAACAGCGACGGCCACAGGCTGGCGTCCACGCCGGGCAGCGCGTCCCGCAGCTCCGTCCAGCAGTAGCCGCGAGCGTACAGCGCCTGGTCGCGCGTGAAGTTGTGCGGCGTGTAGCAGTAGATGGGCTCCTCTGGGGGCAGACGGAGACGCGGGCTGGGGCGCGGGGAGCCACACTCGGGGCCGGTGTTCCCCACGCAGGAAGGCCCCGGGCCCGCGACTCGTTCTACCGCCTTGGGGGCACGGGGGTCCTCTCCCAGGTACCCCGCCCCGCCCCCCCACAGCTGTTGGCTGTGGGGGGGGAGGAAGGTACAGCCTTGCAGCCCCCCCGCCCCCGGGGGAATGACCTGCACTTCAAACCTCAGGTCCCTCCCTGTGTCCATAGAGTCTGTGTCGCCTGGGGAAGCCCAGTCCCAGAGGCCAGCATGACAGGCCGGGGCCCTTTTCTGGCATCAGAGTTGGAGCCGCCCCCTGGCCCCGCACTGCCCGCGGCTTCATCTTTAGGAGGGCAGATGGCCTGGGCAGGTCCTACCTGGCCAGGGGCACTTACGGTGGCACAACTTAAGGAAAACAGATGTGGGCCCTGCCCGCCCTGCAGGGGTGAGGGGTGTCTGTTCAAGACCCACTGTCCTGGAAAAGGGCAGGCCTAGGGATCCCGGCTGCTTAGGTGGGTGAGGGCGGGGCCCGGAGCCTGACGGGAAGCCTCTCGGGCAGGACTGTGGCATCTGCCACCAGGAACGGCGGACGCGCCTGCACTTTGTTTTCCCTCCCCGAGGACGATGACGCCAGGCACAGAACAGCAGAAGAATTGGTGCTGCAGGGGGGCCACCACCCGGCAGGCTTGGCGCTGTCTGCGGCGCTGGCGGCCCAAGTTCACGGCCCCTGAAGGACCGGCCCCTCTGCTGTCAGGCCAGCCTGAGCCCCCTCACCACACAGAGCGGGTCCAGGCCTTCCCGCAGCGGAGCCTTCCTCTGGCTGCTGGGGTCCCGCCCCAGACCTGGCTCATGGCCTCCACCACCTCCTTCCCAAATCCAGGGCCTCACAGACTTCCAGGTGGGGCGCCACGGCTGGCTTCCCAAGGTGTCCTGTTCCGGTGCCCGGAACCTGCGGTGAGGGGACCCGACAGGCTCTACAGGGAGATTGGAGTAGGACTTGGGGGGCGGGCACAGTGTCATCATGGGGTCCTTATAAGAGAGAGGCGGGAGGGTCAGAGTCGAGGATGTGAGGTTGGAAGCAGAGGTCGGAGAGGAGAAACGCCAATGTGCGTGCGGCCTTGAAGGGGGGGAGGGGCCGCAAGCCAGGGAACCTGGGGGGGGGGCATCTGTAGAAACCGGAAAAGGCAAAGAGCACAGTCTCCCTGGAGCCTCCCGAGGGAGTGGGGCCCCACTGATCCCTTGACTTTAGCCCCATAAAACTCACTTCAGCCTCAGAGCGGCCGAACGCTAAGATCATGAATCTGTGTTATTTTAAGCCGCGAAGTTTGTGGTCACTTGTTAGAGCAGCAGCAGGAAACTAACACAGGTGGCAGCCGGCAAGTGCCGCCTCCTCTGCCGAGACCCTTTCCTGCCCCCTTGTGCCTGCCCCAGTCGTATGGGGGGCTCGAGGCCAGAGCTGGGTGGGGAGACGTGGCCCCTGAGATGTGTGGCACCCCCTCCCCAGAGACCAGTCAGCCACACAGGCTTCCCCGGAGCCCCTCCTCCCCCGGGGCCCAGCACAGGCCTGAAGCACGTGCTCACCAGTCCTGGTCGGGGCAAAGCACTGACTTCTTTCCTTTTGGAAAAGGGCGCGCACTCTGGGGACACTGCACGCCTCCGGGCTACAGTGGCACACCCAGGTTACGTGGGACCCAGTTATTTGGCCACTTTAAGAAAAAGCAGCTGTCAGTTCCCCTGTGCAGACCCCGGACAACGTGTGAGGAACCTGGCTCCCCTGGAGGCTGCCCTCGCCTGTCTCCTCCACGCCCCCATCTGTCTCCTCTGTCCACTGCTTGGGGGTCGGTGCCATGGAGGGGCTGCTCACAGCAGCCCTGGCCAGGAGCCACGGGCCTTCCTGCTGCCCGCTGCCCCCACTCCCGGGACGTTCTAGGAGAGGAGGTCTGCGCCGCCTCGTCAGCCCCTCACCACCCTGGGTAGTGCCAGGGTGCTTTCCCTCGTGTCCCTGACGGGCAAACCCTGCTCCAGGGGAACCTGCACGTGGCGAGGACCCAGGCCCAGGGCACGGTCAGCGGGGGGAGTGCTGGAGCCCCGCGCTCCCAGCCAGCGCCCAGCGGACGGGGCACAGATCCTTCCGGCCGCTGCAGAGCGCATGCGGGACGCTCGCCCCTGGGCCGACAGCCTCACAGATGGACGCTGATAGGCGCTGGGGGGATGGGGTCCTGTCAGGGCGGACTGGGCAGATGGGCCGCCGGAGCCTCCGCCCTCACAGCCCTGTTGCGTCCCCGCCCCGGCCTGTCCTATGTGCCCGCAGGGCCTCTCCCGGAAGCCCACCCTGTGGACACGTGGTTCCCACCTGCAGGGCGCTGTTTCCTGCGCCCCACTGTCCTCGGATCTGGGAAGGGGACGCGGGCACTTCTAAGCTCTGTGTGAAGCACCAGGAGACGGGTGGCTTCAGATTGTAAGCCCTGTCCTGCCTCAAACCTTAACCCAGGAGAGCACGACAAACCGCGAGGGGAGCGCGGCAAGCGCCGCCGCAGTAATGCATCTCCGCGGTGCAAGAAGAGCAAACTTGGTCAGCTGTTGCCAAGCCTGCTTAGTCCTGTGATCTGGGACAAGCTTTCCCGGGGCAGCCATGGACCCCCGAGGCCAGGCGTGGTCCATGGGGCATGATCCAGGTCCCGGGGTGCCAGGCTCAGGGGGCCTGCCTCGTCCATGCTCGGGGGCCCAGGTGGACGCGTGCCTGTCCGTGTGCAAATGCAGGCCAGTGTGCGGGGCAGGCCGGCACGAGAAGGCTCAGGGCACCACCCGGACCAGGGACGACGCCGGCAGCCCAAGCCTGGCTGGACACAGAGGGGCCCCGAGGCTCCACGTGGGGTGAGCTGGACTCAAAGGAGAACCTCAGAATGGAGGGGATGGAGGAGTCACCTGAGGATGACAGTTCTGAGCCTGCCCTACTGTGCGCATCTGTAGGGGGTAGAATTGTGTCCCCCTAAAAGATGTTCGAGTCCCAACCTCTGGTACCTGTGAACATGACCTTGTTTGGAAGCAGGATCTTTGCAGATATGATCCGGATCAGGTCACACTGGAGTAGGGTGGCTCCAACCCAATGACTGGAAGTCCTCATAAAAGAGAGAAATTCGGACCCAGACACCAGGGAGAAGGTGCCCAGGTGAAAATGGAAGCAGAGACTGGGTGAGGAAGCCCCAGAAGCTGGAGAGCCCGGGGGGAGGTCCCCGGAGCCTCTGGGAGCGAGGCCCTGCCTGCACCTGCATTTGGTACCTTTGGTCCCCAGACTGTGACAGCTGTCCTGTTGTTTTGAATGACCAAGTTTGTGCGTGTTTGATCCAGTAGTCTTAGAAACAGGATACATCTGCATGTGCCCTGAGTGACACTTGTGGGTCACACCTGCATCTGAGTGTGTGGAATCTCCCGCGGCCCAGGAACTGTCCTATCCTGGGCGTGTCTGAGTGTCTGGGCTCGTCCACCGTCAAGTCAAAAGTTCCCAGGTCATGAGGACCCCTGAAAAGCAAGCCCTTTGAGAAGGGACCAGTGCAGAGTGCAAGAAGGCCTGCCAGTGTTGCTCCGGGGACGGGGTCACATGTCCCTCCTGGAGGGGCACACAGGAGCCCCTTCCCCTCTGCCATGCGCGGGCACCTCTGGACCTCAAGCACGGCCAATGGAATGCAGAGGGGCCTCCCTGGACCCACTTCCAGACAGATCTGTTTTGGGGGCGGTGCCGTTCCCTGCTTCCAGCCAGCCACCTCCATCTGCTGGACCCTGCTCCTTAGGGGGGGCCAGGGCCCTGCAGACCTCGCTTCCTCCTCCTCGGCACCGGCGCCCCCTCCCAGGCCTCAACCCGCCTCAACCCGCCTCAACCAGGGCCCTCCTGGCGCCCCCACGTCGGCCCACTTGAGGCCTCAGCACCCGGAACGTGCCCTGTGCGGGAGCCTCCCTGTCCAGCCTCCCTTCCACCTGCACTGGCCTCACAGGCTGCCCGCCTCCTGCTGGGCCAGGTGGGTCCGCGGCCCGCCGGCGCTGGGTGCTCAGCCCCGCCTCACGGGCCTGTGCCGTGTCCCTCCCCAGGCTCCCCAGGCTCCCCAGGCTCCCCAGGCTCCCCAGGCTCGCGGCGCCCAGACCAAGGCCTCTCCGCGCAGCTGAGCCGAACCGCGCGCGTCTCGGGGACCCTCGCGCGAGCCCAGCGCCCCGCACTCGGCCAGCCGCGCGGGCGCTCTGCCGGACCCCAAGCCTCATTTACGCCCGAGACCACGGGGTCCAGGACGGCGCGCCCCTGCCCGCGGGTAGCGCACGGAGAGTGGAAACGATGCACCGGAGGAGGAGGGTCTCGCAGGCAGCCCCGAGCGCCCGGCGACACAGGGCGGTGATGGGGCGCGGCCGTCGGGGGCGCGCCGGGAGCCCCCACCCCCCACCCCACCCCGGGCGCCGCCGCCGACACTGCCGGGCCCGGAGCGGGTGGCCGGCGGCGGGACGCCGGGGCGGGGACCGGGGCGCGCCCCTAGCCTCACCTGCGAAGTTCTTGGTGAAGACGAGGGTGACCAGCAGGATGGGCACCAGCACGGTGCCGATGGTGACCACGCGGTCGAAGGGCAGCTCGAGCTTGAGCTGCAGCAGCAGCGCGGCGAGCGCGCCCGCCTTGTCGTCCTGCGCGCCCGGCAGGATCAGCTCGCGCAGCTTCTCCCCGGCCAGCAGCGCCGTCGCCATGTCCGCCGACTGCTGCAGGAGGTGGTGCATGGGGGGCGGGGGCGCGGCCCGGGGGCGCGGGCGGGGGCGCGGGCGCGGCGGGGGGCGCCGGGCCGGCGCGGGGGTGGGGGGCGCTCGGCCGCCCCCGCGCGCAGGGGTCGGGCCGCCGGCGCCCCCGCCGCCCCCGCCTCGGCTGCAGCCCCGGCCGGGCCTGGCGCGTCGCTCCGGCGGGGGCGGCGGCCTCTGTCCCTGGCTGGGGCCCGCGCCCCGCTCCCGCCGCGGGGAGGGGGCTGTTTACCTGCGGCGACTCGCGGCGTGGCTCCGCCCCCCGCCCCCCGCCCCCCCGCCACGCAGCTGCGGCGCGGGCGATGACTTTGCAAAAAATATTTAAATTAAATAAAATGAATTAACGCTGGCTGGCCCCTCCTCCTCTTCCTCGGGGCGGGGGGGGGCGGGGGGGGCCTCGCCGCGGCTCCAGGCCGCGGGAGCTGCCCCGGCGAGGAGGGGTCTCGCCGTCCCGCCTCCGGCCGCCTCCGCCACTTCCCTGCCCGGAGCTCGGACGCGCGCGGGGCCTGGGCACCCCTCCCCGGTTTGGGGCCGCGGCCCGCGGACACTGAGAGGCGTCTTTCCCGCCCCCCCCACCCCCCGCACCCCGCATCACCTCCCGCGGCCGCGCTTCCTGCCCTGCCCTGCACCTCCTCCCCGTCGCCCGCCCCAGTCACTCATCTCTTTGCCTCGTTCCACAGACTCGCGGGGGGCCGGCCTGTGCCAGCTCCCGGGGGAGGCTCTGGGGTGCGGGCACCCCTTCCTGACCTTCGTCCCCTCCATCCCCACACCCCGTGCCCGCCCATTCCCGGTTGTCCCCCCGAAAACCTGCGCGCACACCTCGGGCAATGCGCGCAGCTGCCACCTTCACGCCGCGCTGCCTGCAAGGCCCTCGTGGGTCGTCGTTTTCCCCGTCAGCCTTTCATGACCAGGTCCCCCGATTTGGGATGTACACGCTCTCTTTGTGAGATAGCCCGCACCCCTGCGCCCACCCACACCCCTGCGCCGGGGCTGAGAGGGGGTGCTCTGCACCAGGCCTGCATTCTCTCCACACCTTGCGTGTTTTCACCTTTCTTGGGTCTCTATGATTTTCAAGATTCATGTATGTTTCTGAATGATGCCCGCCCGTGGCTTCCAGCCCATTTTCCTTGTCTACTACTTACCGAGGGGGCTGCCTTCTATTTCCCATCCCTCAGATAACCAGGGCACCCGCTCCTTACAACCCAGAAAACCCAGGCATGCCCCCACACAACCCAGACACCCACATGCATCCCAACTCCCTCAAAGCCCAGCTGCCCCTAGATAACCACACTCCCAAAACCCCAGATGCCCCCCATAACACTCACATCCCCCAGATAATCCAGAACCCGTGTAAATGAGCCAGACACCCTCGAAAATAACCTAGATGGCCCCCAGATCTCCCAGACACTCTCCAGCTAACCAAGGTGCCCCCGGGATAATGGCATGGGTATCCCTACAGCCCTCTGGGAACCCCCCAAGGGGTCCTGCTGGGCACACTTACTGTGTTGCTTTCCAGAAAGGCTGGACCACACTCTTCCCCCGAGAAAGGGGCTCTGCCCCCTAATATCCCCAGCCTTTGGCATTATTTGGTATCTGCCATCCTAAGGGCTGGAATGTGGTTTCAGTGTTCTGTTTGCCTGTCTCGGATCACCAGTGGCGTTACTGCCTGTTCAAGCCTTTTGCACATGGAGAGCCCGTCTGTGGTTCGTTTGCAAGAGGTCTTGGACTTACAACAGCCTTTTTGTTAATCCATTGTCAGGCCTCCTTCAAGTCTGTCTGTTCACTCTATCCATGGGGTGTGGGTAAAAACCCTTAATTGTGATGTAGTCAAGACCACCGGTTTTATTTTTATTTTTGGATGGTTTGTAGTTTTTTCTGTGTGACATCACAGAGGCATCCCAGCGACCCTGTGGAGCAGGACAGCTTACCCTCCACACTCATTCTTCCTGGCCTTCCAGCAGATGTGTTGAAATGTGCTTCATTTTGGCATTGCAGTGAATTGGTGAAGTAATCTGTAACGTGGAGATTTCGGATGGCGGTACCGGAAGATTGCAACCCAAGCAAATTCCATAGGAGGCTCTCTCCTTTAGCAGATACACTTTTAGCTGGAAGGACATGCATGGAGGTAGAAATGCAGCTTACTTTTCTCCATAAAATGAGCCGGTTTTCTCAGCACTGTTGACTGAGCAACATATGCTTCCTCAGACCACCAGGTGTCATCACCACATCTGGAATGGGTCTGTCCTTGTAAATGGCTTTGCTGTTTACCAAATCTGTGGATCGGCAGGTACCCCCTTCACTCTTTTTCAATGATGATTTAGGTATTTGTGACCTTTACTTTTCCATATACATTTTAGAAAGACTTGGTCAAGTTTCCGGAAAGGAAATCTAACTGGAATACCGAGATTGCCTTGAATGTATGCTAACCTGGGGACAACTGAAACGTGTACAGTTGTTAAGTTCTCCTATCCATGAACATAGTATGTTTATTTATTTAGATCTTCTTTATATACTGTAATAAAATTATAATCATTCCTCTGTAGATGTTGCACGGGTTTGTTAGGTCATGTCCTAGACATGTCATAACTTTTGTCCCTCTGCACATGGCATCCCATTTTCTGTGATGTATTTTAGCTGGTTAATCTGGTGCAGAGGAATGCCGTGACCTTGATGTGATCGCTCAGAGTTGGCCCGTGGAGTATAGTGGTGCAAGTGACCCTGCGTGTGTGAGAGAGGCTAGGCTGCTGTCTTCCCATCCCACGGGGGAAGCAGCGGGACGCCACAGGAGGGGCTCCCAGGGCAGAGCCGAGGCCTGGGCTGCAGAACCTGCACCCTGACCCCCTCCCCCCGCCCCCATGGCAGCAGCTGTCTTCCTGCTGCCCTCACTCCGTGGGGAGGACCATGGGGTGGGCCGGGGGCCAGAGCAGAGTGGGGAGGAGACCCGGGGCAGGGCTCACGTCCTGCAAAGACTTGGAGCGCAGCCCTCCTCCGTTCTCTCCCGGGAGAATGTGCAGGAAGGGCTGGAGAACAGGGGCTACACACCAGGCTGGTCCTGCCAGGCTGAAGCAGGGGACAGTCTTCCGAGTCCTTCTCTAGGGAGGACCACGCTGGGGCAGCTCGTCCTGTCTTGTGGGGAGACAGTAGCATGTGGCGCTTTTTTTTTTTTTCTAGGAGAGAGAGAGGGACAGCGTGAGCAGGGGAGGGTCAGAGAGAGAGGGAGTCACAGACTCTGAAACAGGCTCCAGGCTCCGAGCTGGCAGTCAGCACAGAGCCCGACGCGGGGCTCGAACCCACGAACCGCGAGATCGTGACCTGAGCGAAAGTCGGACGCTTAACCGACTAAGCCACCCAGGTGCGCCATTGAGGTGAATTTCTTGTTACCAGGTTGTCTTAGGGTTTTACAAACCAAAATGTCTCTCTCAGGGCACCTGGTTGGCTCAGTCAGAGGGGCATGCAGACTTGATCTCAGGGATCAGAGTTGGAGCCCCACATTGGGTGTAAAGATTACTAAAAAAATTAACTTAAAAACAAATGGCTGGGGTGCCTGGGTGGCTCTGTTGGTTGAGCGTCCGACTTCGGCTCAGGTCATGAGCTGATGGCTCACGAGTTTGAGCCCCACGTTGGGCTGTCAGCGGAGAGCCTGCTTTGGATCCCGTCTCCTCTCTCTGCCCCTCTCTCTCTCAAGAGTAAATAGCCATTTAAAAAAAAAAAAATCCCACAAAAATTGCTACCTCAATACACGCTTGGTTGGAGAAGCAGCAGAGAGTGAGTGAGAGGCCAGGTCAGTGGCAGGAAGCAGCGGAACAGCACAGGGTTCTCCTGGCCCACGCTCTGGTCGTGGGCTGACTGGGAGCTCCGTCCCTGTCTGTCCCCTCACTCTGGGGACTAGCAGCCACCATCCCAGTGGGATAGCTTCGCACCTCTGTGTTGCTTCTACTCATTCTTCAGGGGCCAAGGCTCATGCCCGGGCACAGCTGTGGGGTGGGGGAGGCCGGGCACACACTGTGTGCCCCAGAAGATGGTCTGTGATGCCCCCCACGTTCAACCCAGTACGTTTTGCAGTGGGTGTACGTGGGTGGGCGAAGCTCTAGGGGAGGGGGGATAAGGCAGAGTCCAGCCACAAAGGGTCAACTTGCTGGATCCTTTGTAAGTGGACCAGGATGAGTGTCAAGTTCCAAGTTCATCTTCATCCCAGACACACAGAAATGACCGCCGTGCTTCAAAATGGCAACACTTACAACGTGCTGGGACGCAGCAGTTTCAAATAAGAAGAATGGTATGCAACTTACAATCAGTGACGGCACGCAGCTTCCACGTTTCCTTTCCAGGATCTCCAAGCACAGGAGGAACCCCATGCAGGCCACACCTGCCTGCAGGAAACTCAGCTCGGTGACCCCGGGGGCCCACGCTGTGGGAGGCGGCTTGGCCTCCCGTGGGCAGGGACCCTGGCGAGGGCAGACCCACCCCGTGTGCTCTCATCCTGTGCCCCGCAGAGCCTCGGCCTGCTCACCGGAGCTGGCCCCCTACCCCGTCTCCTGCCTGCCCCAGGCCCAGCGAGGCTGCACTGAGTGCCCTGCTGCCCAGGCGCCCCGAGTCCTCTACAGAATGACCCCACCTGGTCTCCCACTGCCCCCGACAACTCCTCTGGACCATTGCTGAAGAGTATCCGGGCCGGGGCCCCCCCTCCACGACGCCAGCCCAGCTCCTGGCTGCCTGCAGGGCCGATTGCTCCAGCCCTGGCGTTTGGTGCCACCTGCCTCTTCACAGTACGAGCCCCGCACCCGCGGCCCCTTGTGAGCGTG